TGGCTTTATCAGACTCTTCAAATTCATTCAAGTGAATTGAACGGATTTGTTATTGAATCAGTATGTCAACGCTTATTTGCTAATTGGCCATTCCGCAGAATCTCTTTCTTCGCTTTTTTTAACCTTAATCCTTTCCTTCCTATTCATCTTTGTTAATGCATTCAACATTTTCCACGTTTTCAGGTACAATCATGGAGGTGCAATGGCTATGAAAATCAAAATGAACGACGGTGTGGGTCTTCTTCTTGAAAATTCAGATGGCAGTAGCGATGAGGAGCCTCGTCCGCTTGGTAGCAGTAGTACATCTGAAGAGCTGCATCGCTTGAATCAGAGGTATAGTGTCACAATTTTTAGCAAATATTAATCGTCTTGACGTCACGCCATACGGATGGTGAAAATGTATAGCGCTTAAAATTTTATGGCTTTGACATCAATATAAGACATTTATTTCGTGGATCACCTTCTTTATTTAGAAAGAAAAATGCTAAGTCTGTACGTCTAAGATGGATTCTTGCCTATGGTCCAAGCCAAACTTTCGAATAATAACGAGTAAAGATTTTTTTATTAATTATGACCTTAAAAGCAAAAAGCACCATAGTATTCGAGAATTTAAGCTACAAGGCTTTTGGGCTCGTGTAGGTACATAGAGGAAATCAGTTTCCGATGTTTTTGAGTTTACATCTAATACCTTGGAATAAAGGTTTCGTCACCATACATAGTAGTATTGTAAGTCTTATACAATCTGTTAATTTAATTTCAAAAAAGGATTGTTAATGAATGCACGATTATGGGTTTGTAAGAAATAACTTGAATAACTTGTAAACTACTTGTTTATATATTTGTTTTCTAGAGCGCTATTTTTCTTGTCCCCAAGCATTGAGAAATTTAGGTAGCAGGTGATTAATTAAAGCCGTTTATTAATATTTTAACCGGTTGAATGAGTAAGGTGAGTGATTGAGCAGAATGAAGCTACAAGACTAAAAAATCGAGTCTTATTTTCTTTCTGGCCCCGTATATAAGTCATTTTGCAAAGGTAATTTAAGCACATATCCTCAATATTCAGAATCGTTACTTATGTACTGGTGAATATTTATCTGCCATCTAGGCGTTTTATCGAATGTTTAATTGGATAAACAAAGAAATCAATCTCTTTAGAAAAAAACACCTTTAAACAATGTTTTCAACTATTTATCGATATTTTTGTGATAGTACACGCAGATGGACTTTCCAAACCTGCACTTTTGTTAGTTCTTCTATATTTCTCCAACTTTCTCAACTCGTTCAAATATTCGCGATGCATTAGCAGAAATTGTCCATAGTCAACTAAGAAAAGCTGATTTTTACCGGCTTCCTGAAGCTTGCTCAAAATATTTATGCTGTCGCTGTTATGTGTACGTTCATAGTGATTATAATTGTGATCAGTCATGTTTCTGTTGTTATTCACTAGTAGAGACAAATGTCGCACCAGTCAGCTGTGTTAGTTTTGCGGTCTTTTGCTAATCACCCACGTCAAACAGTTTTGGCTCATTTGCTCGTCTTAAATGCACTTTGCTCATCAATTAAAAGCTTCTAGAATCTCTACCGTATGCCTACTTCATGCCACTGGTTCACTTATCGTTAAAAATGCTTTAGCTGACAGAGTACTGAAAATGGAAGGCTTTTGGGAGAATATCATGACGTGAGTTCAAGCATGCAGAGTGCGGTGATTATAGCATTTTTGTCTTGACTGCATTGAAAAATCCGGTGTACGCAGTTGCGGACGCAGCGCGTACTCTCACTGTATCGATTTCATTGGATTGGCGGCTGTAAGGCGGATCTTCGTGACCTACTTAAGGCTAGAGCATGATCAAAGAGTACGAGCGCGAGAGAGACGCAGACAACGTCACGGGGGCGAGCGACCATAATTAAATAACAAAGCCCCGCCTTCCAGTCGCCAATTCAGTCGAATCAAAAATTATTTGCCCATGCATCTTCTAAACACATTCCAAAAAAGGTCAGAGGTAGAGGATCAATGATGCGAAACGCGCCGCGTGTCCGCGCTGCTGCCGACGATGCAATATAGGACTAAGACGTGGGACAGCCTATACAAACTAACGCAATTACAATTGGAGTATGATAATTTTGCTGTGATAACTTCTCGGTTTTCTTCGTCTTGAAGCAGAAAGAGTTCTGTGATTATTCTGAAAAGTTAAAGTCTTGGTGCAGGGAAGTGGAGGACAGAAACGAAAGGGAAGAAGAGGGGGTTACTGTAACTGTCAGGTTTTTTTTACTCTATAGATCGTTTTCGTGTCTTTCAATCAGTCTGAGCATCTAAGCTTCTTATGTGAATCTAACATATTTCTTTTCATTTACGCTGATTAGAAGGCATGATTTTGAGCTCATGGCCAGTACCGTACTCGACGCTGATGCAGTGGGAAAGCATACGGTCTGGGCGAGAGCCAAGAATTGGTCCTCTTTCATGAGTGGATAATGAGCTCCAGCTACTCAAGCTTGCCAGTCTGACCCTATTATACTGCAAAATTTTTGCATATTCACAATTTTCAAATAAATATTCGGAAAGCAGCGGGCCTAGGTTCTTTTTTGAAGTTCCACACTTCTTCGCCATTGCAAATGCTTTTTTTCCTGGTATCATAGTTGACATGCGATATCTCGTGGGAATATATCTTTATGCAGTTAGCAGAATTTTTGATGCGACACTTCTTTGAAAGTTTCTTGACATTTTGTCAGTAATATTATATTGTCTCGATTGACGCATTCTCCATTGTTGCTGACAAAGAACTGCAAACTTCTGGAGAAGAAAAAACATCATTAGCAGAGAAACTTTTTTGTATGTTGACGATACCAGAGAGGTATGTAACCGTGAGTTGCATACAAAATGGGGGTGACAAAAAATAATCCGAATGTTTGCCCCACTTGGTATGCTTCAGGCTCCTACTTGACATAAGTACATGCATGTGCTGTGCAAATCATCGAACCTCACTCCACCTCTCCCCCCCCCCTTCTATCTTGCCCCAAGCCAACTAAAATTAGCCAATTCTTTTGTTCCCATCATAAAGCCAATAAATTACGCGCAAATCTCACAACATCGCTAATTGTTCGCGAAATCCGTGTATCACTTGCTTCGGTGATTTAGGATGCGGTCTTCGGCCAACAGATGGCATGCGATTTGAGAAATTACCATAGATTTTTGATTTTCAATATAGAAAATGGAAGACTTCTTCACTCAGCGAAAATGCAGTTATGGAAATTTTCCATCATCTTTGGCCATTTCCTAACCATGAAAAGTTCACTTTTCCATCGTTCACATACATAACCATGAACAGAGAACGTGTCCTATAACTTATAGCCAACCTACCCGTTTGCCCTATAACTTATAGCCATTCATTTATCTTGCCCTTAAAACCCACACTATTTTCCTTCGAAAGCCATCTAGACATTCATTTGCTCGTCAACCTTCCATTTCTTTTTTGTGTTTGCTTTCGGAATCAAGTGGGATTTCCTCGTGAAGCCACCCACGGATTACCCAAAATACCGCTTTTTCACATTTGCTTTACTTTGCTTATTTTTGGTCTAGCATGTCCTGAGAAGTCTTTTTTTTTTCAAAGTATGAATTCAAATTTCGTCAGACATCTGTATTTTCACATTCTTCGTCTTAATTCTGAAAAAAAAAACCCCCCTCAAGCTTCTATTTCATTATTTGATCTCTCGGTTATTCGTATTGGCTTACTCACTCAGTCATTCAATCAATCAATCAATCAATCAATCAATCAATCAATCAATCAATCAATCAACCAACCAATCATTCATTCATTCATTCATTCATTCATTCATTCATTCATTCATTCATTCATTCATTCATTCATTCATTCATTCATTCATCTTAATTAATTAGTTAATGAAATAATTAGTTCACACCTCCATGCACTCATTCATTAGCTAATTAATTAATTAAATGATTAATTAATTATTTAATCAATTCATCGTGATTACTTTCTTCGACTCCTTTCACTCCCCTTTTTCTCTCTTTCTTCCTTTCCCTCCCCCCTCATCAACCAGTTGCTAACAAAAAGAAGAAGATTTTATGGTTATTCATTCGTTCATCTACTAGCTCATTTAGCCCTTATACCCTTCTTTCCGTATTCATTCGCAGGTCATCATTCACTCTTTTCTACTCATACAGTCGCTCATTTTCTTTATCGCTCTGCCAAAATCGACATTTCTTGATCGACCTAATCATTCTTGAGTCAATCTTTTCTTTCTTTTATGTCTAACATCTCATCTTTTACCTTCGCGTTTCTACATTCCCGCATTTTTGGTTCAAAATGTTGTCGTTGATCTCTTAATTTTTTTGGTTCCACCTCTCGCTTAAATATTAGGCAGCCATAATTCTCTACATCTACACTTCTTTTAGCACTGGATATACCACCGACGTCATCCCGAATACATGTCCTCATTCATTCACTCAATTTATTTCTTAGCTTTCTCATCTAATCTCCTCTGCTGGCTCCATTCATTTTCTGCAAGGCTTCCATCTCTTAGGAGTGGTTTCATTTACGATCAAATTCGTCTTTATTTGGATGCCATTTCTAAAGGCTTACCTCAAAAAGTATACAACAAGCCAATTTAAGCATGCGGAAGCCTCCTGGCACTCTCAGTGACTTCCGGCTTTCTTTCACGTTCTCTTTTCTATTTATCTACGGAAGCCTTCATCTCGTATGCTTTTAAGATATTCCGAGAGCATTTCTTATGCTGACCCTCTTCATGCTTTCTGCCAGTCATGGCCATCTCCCCTTTTATAAGCAATTTTGAGAAAATTTCTCCTAAGAAATAGTATAGTTATAAGCTCCCAAATGTGCCAGATCTCTGACCAACTACCGTATCCTTCCTCTCTTCTATTTATGTCTCAAAGTCAAACTTCAGCCTTCTTTGAAAAGAGATCTAGGTGGGTGTGGCCATATTTCACGCCCTGAAGCACGCTAAACTTCAGCGTTTGATCGACGATGCCTCCAACAAAGAAATACTCACAGTAAGTTTTTTTCTCACGATATTCATTTTCATTTGGAGGGTCTGAGTGCTTGCGAGAGGGTCCCATCCACGAGGATCTGATTTCGTGGTGTTTAAACCAGTCGGGACTTATGGCGCTTGCTTGCCCTTTATTTGTAAGGGGAGGCAAGGCATGAGTTGGAAAGCGCTGCAAAAAAAATTTCGTAGGAAAGGGGTCCGGCAAAGATTTTCAGCTTTTCACATGTTATTTCATCAAGTTAGCAAAGAAAAGGCTTTAAAGAAAATCTTGTGAAAATGCTAGAAGTCAAAAGTCGCTATCATTCACAATTTTTAGCCTCCACGTTCCCAAACTTTCTGTTTGTTCTTCTTTTTGCCTCTAAAATCTTCCATAGAATAAGACCTCACTAATAGGAGTTGAAAAATCTGGCACAATTTTTTTTACTCTCGACTAGTGAACCAGTCCTGGATTTGCTTCCGCGCTTCGGGACCGCGGATTCCCACTGTCTAATGTTTTTGATTTGGCGTTAAGATTCTTTATATATAAGATTTTTTTGTGACAATTAAGTTATATACCATTACAGCATCCCCCCCCCCCCCAAAAGCAAATAAAATTATTTTTGTTAACAGGAGCAGAAAACTGAGACGTTTATAACGCTTTCTGGCAATTGATTATACACCCTGCAATTCCACCTCACCCCCTCCACCCTCGATGTATCATGAAATCCAGACTAGTCCCTGTTATTTTGCAAAGATTACGGTATCAACAGGCGCGCGTCTACGCGCGCGCTTGCCGCTACTGTTTGATTTGTGTGAGATAGAGCAAGGTGATGACACATGCATGCTTGTATAGCTTCTATCCTATTGTCATCATCGACTGCATAGTTTTGTATGTACTGCAGTGCAAATGAAGTGTAAACGCTTTTACACTTCTTAAATTATGCGTATGACACATTACAATGATTGATAACTCCACCAGTCTAGAATAATATCTTTGTAATCGTTTACACTGCGAAACAAATGTTCTACTGTGAAGAAGATGAATTATGATATTTTCAAGACTATGATTGTTGATGAGCTGTGAGGAGTTTCAAACAGCTTTACAATGAACAAAACCTATTCTATTCTTGAAACGCTGTAGTGCAAACCCTCACCCAGGTCCCGGCACGAGTCCGTTTCTAGGCTTTTTCAAAACGAAGTCCCCCTGATTTTCGCAAAATTTTGTGAGTTCCCTTTGGCCAAAGATAGCAGTCGACTAAAAAAGCCTAGTTTTTGTGCTTCTGGACCCAGAAACGATGTACCTTTTAAAAACAAAGTCCAGCCGGTTTCCAGATGATCTATGCCGGGTCCTGCCCTCACCTTGCCTAAATCTACCGCATAACTCCGAAATTCTTGCATCAAAACTTTTGGGAAACGTAATTTCCTTATCTTTTGATCCATTTACATTATGTGGTAGTGTTGGAAGAGAAGCATACGCTTATTAACAAAGGCTACTTAAGTAAAAGGCATTTTTTGGCATATCAGATTTAAGCTGATGAAACATTAGTACAAGCTGGATATTTGGAGTTTTACATTGGGTCGCAAAAATTGCTAAAACCTCGCCATAAAATCCGCCAAATCTAAATTACTACTTTATCGAAAAATATTAATTTTGTAGCAAGATGTCGAGACTGAAGACTAAGAACAGAACAAAATAACATTTGCGCGTTTTGGCAGAGATCTCACATGAAGCTCTCTACATGAATCCTATTTTTTCTACTGGTACTTTCCAGCAAGTTGCAGCATTTTCTTTTTCTGATTTTACCGAATGAAGGACAATAATCCATCCATTCCGTAGCCCCATAGACATTGCAATAATTAGCTGCACACTTTTGCTTTAGTTTCAATACAAAGACGATAACCTTCCTCTTCTGAAGTATCCCAATTTATCTCGTTTTCTTATGCTTTTGATAGGCGAAGCTTCCTTCTTGTGACAGCAATCCTGCATTAAGCTCTTCACTCATGGAAACCAAAAAAAACAAGGACTTTAAAATCTTGTAAAACCCTCAGTCTGACATGTTTACATAATGGAAAAGTGAACAAAACAAAAAAGGAAAACAATAAAATGCAAAGTACTCATTAGTATTCGCAAGTGCATTTTAAAGTGATTTTACGAAAAACTTTTCGCTACAACTGGTGGATTGCTAAAAACTTTTCGTTCTTATTCCAGCAAATCTTGACCTTAAGGTAGAAACTTCAATATAAATGATTCTCATTCAATGTGTTGATAAGTCTGATCAGGTTCTGAGCTCACATAGTCAAAGTGTAGAAAGAATGGAAAAAACCTCTCAAAAGCGCCTGCTTTACTGACATTATTGGTACTGAGGGGCCTAGAAAATGTTTGAAATTTGAAACCTGCTCAGTATCATGGTAAACTTCGCTCGGAACGAATCATTTCGACCAAGAGAGGAAATTGTACAAAAATTTGGAGGAAAAGGTCAAGGCTGTAAAATTTCTAAATTTCTTTCTTATTTTTCGTCGCAAAGAGGCCATGAAAAAAACCCGCCAAGCTCTTTGCCTATTCTTCCACACAGTACAGGTTTTCAGTCATACTTCATTTACAGATATTCATTTATTTAAAATCAGCCGTTTTCAAAGTGAAAATTTGTTACGACTCATTAAAATCGCTTAGTGTTTCACTATTAGTGGATGTAATGATTAGCAGGTCTAGGATATTAGCTACTTTGATGAAAAACAAGTCAACTTCTGCAATCACTTTGGCCAATTTAAAAGATGTAATTTAGCTCCATTCTTGCATTCATATTAAAACCTCCTTCTGTAATTTCAATATTCTTCAGACCATATAGGTTTTGAAGATGTTTTCATAAGGAAATTATGGAATTGTTTAGGACTAGTACCGAACTTTCTTTGCTAAAACACATAAGATCCATGTAAGAACTGGTGTCAACAAAATCCTATGTGGCACAGTGCTCGATGCCTTGTTTGCTATGAATCAAAGCTGCATGTTTTTAAAAAATCAGTAAAATCCGTGTTTTCTGTGTTTTCTGTGTTTTCTTTTACAAGAGCATCAGTGGGCGGCCGGAGCCAACACTTATAAATTGATTATAGGCTTGAATGTTGACGCTAGAAATTTGTCTGGCTGTTAATGTCATCTTCCAATTCATTTTTATTTTCGTTGGAATAAAAATAGATAATTTTGTCTTGAAAAGTGACTTCGTACTCTACCCACTTCTACTAGACTTACATTAGATTACCAAAAATTGCGTAATTGATCCACCAAATAAAAAAGTTTCATCAATCTGATCTCTCCTTCATGCTAGCACATCCTCCTCGGATTAGATAAACATCTTGCGAAAATGTTTAGCCTACGGGGCAATATCAAAGCTGTTTCGTCTAGTTAATGGCCCATAAACGATGTTGATCTTTGTCACAAAGCTTGGCAGATGAGCTGGGATCGTAAACTGGGGATTTCACAGGTGCAGAATCAATTTTCAGTGAGCAGTTGCTGAATTTTCAAAGAACAGCACTTCAGAGCGGCTTCAGCACTAAAATTGTTGAATTATTCTTTCTGCTCATATTTTACTCGATTATTTATTCAAAGTGTCCCAGTTATTTATAATTTATAAAGTTTTTCTATTTTCTGTTTTATTTTGTATACCCGAGATTGTTAAATACTTTACTGGGCTGACATTTCGGCAGATCGCCTTCTTCAGAGCAGAGCGGGATGAATCTGAATTTTTTTTTATAAATTATATGATTTTTTTGTATGATTCGTTGGGTAATTACGCGCTTATGCATTTACTCACTCTTTCATTCAGACTCCTTTCACTGTCATCTTAACCAAATTCCTCTTCAAAGCTTTTACTCTCAACCCACCAATTGCCCGGAAGTTACCTACTTTCTTCATCTTATGGACCATCATTCTCCCTTTCGTACAGGTTCATTCAAAAAGTATTTGTTCTTACTCTTTCCTAGACAATCAAGAATGTGTTAGCACGTATTAGACTGTAGAAGGCAAAATAAATTCAGAAAAATTTATATCCAATAAAGATCGTTATAAAATTTCATCAGAATTCTAAGTGAATCCAAGTTTGGTAACGGAGATTCATGAATTCTGCAAAACTCTAGCCAAGCGATGCTACAAAAATTCTAAAATATTTCTGAAAAAAATAGATTGATCTCTACGAATGTAAAAATGTTGGAAAATGTTACATTGTAAATAGCGCTGCAGGTATGCATTTGCAACTCAAGAGTGCTGTCTTGAAATGTATCCTTTCGAACGAAGTAAGCTGTTACAAACATCTTATCGTAGTTCTAAATGTTATTCATTCAGTGGTGTCTTTTCTTCTCCATTCTACTCATCCCATTCATCCAATTTGCCTTGTTTGAGGTTGGCTCCAACTCATCCACTTTTCCTCATTACGCCTACTCAGTTTGTACTATAAAGCCTAGGTCCACTCCGTAATGGCGTGGCCAACTGAGGTAATTGGGCCTTTCCTTTACCATCACTTGTTTCTTAGGCCCATTTTCTCTGAATTAGAGTTTGAATAGTTGAGTTTCAACATTTAAAAAAATTGTATATGTTTTCTAGAGCTTAGTACCTGTTGGAGAATTCTCACCCAAATTTGCTTCATTGTTCAGTATTGAGAAGTCATAGTTTCTTAGTCAGTTAATTTGCATTTTTTGTTTGGTAGAGAAAAGCATGCACTTTATCGTCCATTTGAGCTTCTTTCCCACGAAATGGGTCGGAGACCGAAGCCAGAGAAAATTCACATGAGTTTTAGTTGGAACTAGGTTCCAAGAATCTGCTGGAATTCTGCAGTGAACTTTTGAAAAGGAGATATATGATCCTATACACTTTCATGCGCGTTACAGTTTTCAAAAAAAAGTTGAAAAAAGGTAAGAGGCGATAAGGATTTGAAAATTCAGTACTGTAAGTTTGACGAACTGTTCTACAGATAGGAAAAATAAAGGAAATTTCATGTACAGTGTGTAAGATCCTGACTGAAAATAATGGTTTGACAAGCTTTCATGACTACTTATATAACCACTTCTTGCTCAAAAAATCACTTTTAGAAATTTGAGTAAGATTTTAGATTGCAAAAATGCATCAGAACATAATGAGCAGTTAGAATGCCTCTATTAGAGAGTAGGAAAAAACAAATAAAACCAAACAGCTTTCTGCAAAATGTACAATACAAGCAATGAAGTGCAATTTGCTTTAGACATTTAGATAAGATTGCACAGAAACTTCTTTTTTCGTTTTTTTGTGTGAATTTGCTTGAGAGTTATCTCACAATACTACAATTGAGGTAGTCTGCTTCCACGCAGATTTCTTCCTCCATCCGTAGCAATTGTGTGGAAGCATCACTTTGAATTATCAATCATTCCGATAAATCATAAACCCTTTTGTTTTTTGAGACCCTACTTTTGTGGACAGAAACTTTGTGCCCGGTGCACCTGAGGTATAAACAAATATCTATTTTTCGGTAATGGGGAGCGATACAAATTCTTCTTCTTTAAGGAGAAAGTAGACAAAAAAGCAAAAAACATTTTTTGATATATTAAATTTTTTTAGTGTTTTAGATTAGGATGTAGTTTGAGTGAATATTATTTGCTGTACTATTGAAGAAGAAACAACTACATGTTTACCCCGTTTCGTCCCTTTCTTTAGACGGAGTTTTGAGATCTAGACCCTCTCCGGGACTCTTCAGTAAGGAGAGAGGGTCTAGTTTAATTTACGGTAAATTTTTTTATAAAATTTCAAAACTCATCTGAGATGTTCCATTGTCAAATAATCTTATGTTATGTAAATGCAGAAAGGGGTATACAGCCATTTTATGCTTGATGTGAAGCTAACGATATCGTCAGGGAAAAGACGTGGGGGCTTCTATCCACTATGTAAATCCGTTAGCAATTATTTTTGCAGTGAACTTTTATGTATCTATTTTCTCCCCTTGTTTTGCTCGAATCCTTTGGAATAGGGCAAGCAGACTCTTGTACTCAAGTCTCAATTAAAGTAGAACTAAATAAGTTTGTGCTACAGAATGTAGTGAAATCCGCTAGGGAATTGCTGATGTAAGTTAGTGGAAATAAAAATAAAAATTTGTAGCAGCACTTCTGATCTGTAAAAATGTTACGAAAAAGATGGGAATATTCACATCTGCAAAATTCTGCAAATGTACACTTCATCGAAGAAATAATCTCTATAAGCTATGGGTAGTTTGAGGCTTACTACTTCCAGCTTATGTGCTCTGTTTATAGCATTGTTTTCCTCTTGGGATTCATTTGACCATTAAGCATACTAGAAAGCTCATTATGGCAACGGTGTCCATTGTTGAAGAGGGCAGCAAAAAATTGTTCATATTACTACCACTCCAAGCACCACATTAGAACCAGATCCATCTGATTTCCCTATGCTAATGAGCATTGGCGCTAGAATGCATAACCTTTATGGTAGTATTTTCATTTGTAAAAATAACAGATTGTTCATAAAATATTAATTTGCTCCGTTGCACAAAAAAAAGAAAAATTAAAATAATTAGACAAATAAAGTATTTGTTTTTGTTGTAAGTCCTCTTGTCTTTGAACCTTGGCGTGTTCTTGCAGGCGAATAATTTTAATTATTATATTATGCCGTTTTTTGCATAATATAATAATTAAAATTATCCATCTGCAAAAAGTATTTGTTTATTTGTTTATTTATTTATTTATTTATTTATTAAATACATCGTAAACGATGCACCACCCTCAGTATGAAAAAATATGAAAAATATGAAAAATTTGCTTTGGAAATATTTTTAAAAAGCTTTGATTTATTATATTATATTTTCGGGTTCTGCTCTATATTATGCATACTAGGGGTTTCGGAAAGAGCAAAATCGTGTCGATGAAAAGATCGGAAATCATAACTACTCTTGTTACTCTGTTATTATAATTCTCTCACAATCAGCCGAAAAAAGTAGGTCGTAAATTTACAGTCTAAGGTGAAATTAGATTTTTCTCTCACCTACTAGAATTCAAAAAAAAATTTGGCCGTTTTTATTCATCATCTCCCAAACTTTAGTAAAGAATATTGCGCATAGAATTTGGGAAAGCGTGTTTCCTCTTTTTAGTCAATATCGGATTGAACAACTTGTTACAAGAACAATACAATATTTCAAAATTGCTGCAGAATTAATTGACCAACTTAGTATTTTCCTATAAGCTTACAAAATAACAGTTTTCATTTATTCTTCTTTGTAAGTCTTTGTTCGGCTATTGAGCATTGGTGGTAGAATGCATGCTAGAATGTAGTCGAAGGAAAAAGTGAGGAGGCAAAAAGTCGATTCCACTAAAACACATGTTTCAGATTAAACGAATAGGATTGTAAAATAATCCTTAACTTGTTTTGAATTGCAATTCGCAGCATTGGAGATTCAATTTCACTGTTGTAAATCGAAAAGTGGCTAGTGATCTTCCAAGTTTTGCGCATGTGCTACAATCATTAGATGTTGATTATGTGTTTTTTCTTGCAAATGTTCAATGTCATGCTAATTGTTTGCATATATTCCAAACCCCCTATTCGTAAATTTTCGATTGCCATATGGTATTTTTTGATACTCTTGTTTGCCATATCCGCTCCTGCAATAAAAATTGCACCTCATATTCCCGTCTTAGTGCTAAAAATCTGGGTGAGATAGTTTGTCTGCATTTGCTTCGGAGTTTAAATGAAAAATTCTACCATAGGTTTGCAAGCAATCACGATGATGTATGATGTCAACTTCCCGTAGATATAGGTTGTCTCATATTTAGCACGTTTTTCTAACCTCCTTTTGAGAGAGCTGATTTTCGAAGAAAAAACAATTTTCTTCAAAACCGTTTACAACCTCGGAAAGCCCGATTCCTCTAGTTTTTAACATATGCTTTCGTTTCCGCAAATCTTTGTTGAAGCTGAAGTTCCATACCTTCGACAGTGATTAAAATTTGAAATTCTTTCCCTTCATTCTCCTTGCTTTTAAATCCATAAAAAGTAGACGGATTTTTTTTGTATGCGTAACGATTAACGATCGCGAAGCTTTGTGCTGCAAAACGATTGTCAGTATGAGATTTTTGAAATTTTCCGAGCTGAGAAATCTTGTCTCAAACTTGGCTGGTCGCTGAGGCCCATCTAAGCTGCACAAGAATCTCAAGCAAAAAGCGACTGTATAAATTTCGCTATGCACACGTAGAGTAGACCTAGTACAACTAATGCTAGGAAAAACGTAGCATTTCATTGTCTTTTCGAAGAGAAAAAATTCGAGAAATCCCAAAAAGGCAGTTTTTTGGATCTTTCAAAATACCGGAAAATGGGTACTTCCAATTTTTTTGCAAAATTTTCTCAAAGAAATATGCCGTGAACTTCAAACTTTACTCCATTGTACAACCGATCATCGGCTATATAAGAGCAAAGTCCGCGCGATCCTAGTGCATTTGAGCGAAAATTAAGCTTTCTCAAATTGTACGTTTCTAAAAAAATGTTCGGAAATTTTTTAGGCTATAAAATCTTTCTTAAAATAGCTGCTATCCAGCAAAAGCATGCTTTCTGTAGTCAAAGGTTTGTTGTTTTCAGTAATCTTTATTGCGCTCAAAAAGTTTGGGAAAAGAGTTATCTTGGTTAGAAATAGAAATTAATAAAACGTGCATTAATTATGAGGCAACCTAATGTTTTAGGTCTGCTAAAATTTAATTTAGTGTTGAATCGTTGAGAATTTCACTCCTTCGTTGACATTAGTAGTCCCATCCGTTCGTAACTACAGAAGAGTGCAAATATACTAGATAAACAGCATAAATTTAGTTGTGTGTACTAAGACACGCATGTGAAGTTGAGAACAAATTATTTTTAGACTCAGCTAAACGACATCGTTGTACTTTTCCGCTTTGAAAACTTCTTAATTACAGCCTCCGCTCGAAACGGATGCAAGAGTTTTAGGTCGTCGGCGATGTTCAGTTTGAGCTGTTCCGTGCAGCTTCGATTTCTTCGGTTATACTGATTTGTTTGCAATTTTTTTCCCAGCTCCACCTTTTGAAAACAATTCCAAAAGAAAGTGTTTTCGAACATATGTTGAAGTTTACCGATCTGTTCGCAATTTTCCCCCAGTTCAGCTTTTGGAAACAATCTTAAAGGAAAGGATTTTTAGAGAACTTTGATGAGGTTTCCAAAGTGGAGGATTTTCGAGACGTAACATCAACCAACTTAACAAAATAGTCATAGTAGATTGACAGATTCCAAACCCAGGGCGAATTGAGCATCAGAACAATTTTCAGTTATTATGAAATTTCGTTTCTTTACTTACCATCAACTCTCCACTTGCAAGTATTGCTTTTTATTTTAGATCATTGTTAAGGGATAACAAATTTGAACAATGTCGAGCAATTAATCAGCAATTGTAGCAATTATTTAGAAAAGCAAATTGATAACGGTTGTTGAGTATACGGTTATATGCAATTACGACTTGTGTGGCTATTGCAGTGCTGCAATTTTATACTTAACAAATACCATGTGTGACAGTTCTTACTTACCGTAGTCTCACAATCTTTTCTGTTCAGAACTCTCTCGATCATCGGGGAGAAGCTCAGTGTACCGAGAAATTCTGTGTGCGGTGGCGGTACAGTAGGAAGTTTGTCCTCGATGCGATCTGGTGAAGCGTCACGAAAGAACACTGCACGTCTCATTGAAAATCCGAATTTATTCGCCAGGACTTTGGTGAGTTTACAGTAAGCAGGTTACGGTAATCGTTTCGAATTGTGAAGTGTGATTTCAGTCGGAGAAGCTCACAGGACCATGGATCGAGCATGCATTTGTGAAACGTGAATGTATCAAATTTGTCGCACAACGCGATGTTCCAGATAGGTACGCACGGACCATTTGGTAATCAATAAATAATTTAAAATTGTGAATCGTGGAGGTAGAAAAGTTTGTTAGACCCACTTAGGATTACGCCGAGGTTATTTAAGCGAAACCGGAACAGAATTAGTAAATTTGCACAAACAATGGCTTGCGAAAGTCAACCGGCAGTTTTTTGCAGCCCCTTTTTTTAGCCTTGCCCAAAACGTCCATTCTAAAAAAATTTCGGTCCCTTGTTGACAACAGATCTGGTTATAGATAGGCATAAGACAAAGTATTTTAGGTGCGGGTGCGGCCAGTTGATGACGGCTCACTCCCAGTTAGCCTTATCCAGATTCTCAGTTTTCTCTCAAACCATCCGAGTTGAGGAAGGAACCCCATGGTCAATAGCGACACATACCCAAACTGCCCCCACTGATGCTTTCGGTACCATTGTTTTTCAGGTAAGTTCTCTCGGTTTCGGGTTAGCTCTACCTAGTTTCTAATAATTAATTCAGGGAGGAGCTCATGCACATAAAGCTCAATACATTCGGCTAGGGTATGATTCGGAGCCAGAGGATGTAATGTATCTGATGGAAAAGGTAAAAGGCAATGGATCCAAGAACATTTAATTATCAATTTTTATTTAGGTCTGGGGTCTAGTACCTCCCAAACTTGTCATTACTGTCCATGGAGGAATGTCGAACTTTGAGTAAGTTCATAAAAATTCGAATCCTTATCATTGACTCTCGAAACCAGTGTCTTGCAGGGTCCAGGAAAAGCTTGGGCGTTTGTTCCGGGATGGTTTACTCAAAGCAGCTCAAACTACTGGTGCTTGGATCATAACGGGTGGGTTTGACTCTGGGGTAGTGAAGCATGTTGCCCAAGCACTGGATGACGCTGGAATATCGGCAAGGCAGGTGGACGTCATGCTTTTTGAAGAAAGACATTTGCCTTATTCAGGATGCGGTCAAAGATCGTCACGATAGGGATTGCTCCCTGGGGTGTGATCAAGCGGAAGGAGCGATTGGTAAGTTGTTATGAGAACTCGTACCTCAATAAAATTTTCTTATTTCAGGTAGCCAAGGATGCTCAGATTCAGTATGACCCGCATGCCTTTGGTTCGCCTACGGGTCTAGGAGTACTGAACGATCACCACTCGTACTTCCTACTTGCTGACAACGGAACAACCTCTAGGCGAGTAAACCTTCGGTCTTTTCCGTATATAAGCGCGATCTTATAGGTACGGTGCTGATCTTCACCTCAGGCAAAACCTCGAAGAACATCTGGCCAAGGGCGATGCGAACGGTTCCCGGAAAATTCCTGTGGTATGCGCAGTACTGGAAGGTGGAACTAGTACCCTCAAAGCTGTCCACCAGTACTTGACCCGGTAAAAGACCTAAATAGTAAAATATATACAAATGAATCCTGTTCCCTTCAGGGAGCCTAAAATCCCAGTGATCGTGTGTGACGGCAGTGGGAGAGCCTCGGATCTTATAGCGTTTGCAAGCAGATATCTGGATGCTGATGAGTGAGTAAGATTTCTCTTCCTCCCCATATTCTTGTAATTTTTTGGCTAAATTATCTACTTCAGCACATTTCCCGCAGAAGTACGGGAAGAGTTGCTCTCTCTGATATCCACGGTATTTCCGGATGCTCCACGAACTCCTGAGCAAATTCTTGAGGTCATCTTGGAATGCGCCAGGAAAAGGGATTTGGTGGGATTACAAAGTTATGTTGGGTTTGTTAACTTATAAAAGGTTTTTAGCTCACGATCTTCCGGATGGGCGAAAGCCGCACTGAGGATGTGGACCACGCCATCTTGACCGCGGTTTTGAAGAGGCAGAATCTTACCCTACCTGAACAGGTGACAGATAGCCCAGTAAGGTCTAACCTGACTACCTTTCCCTTGTAGCTGCACCTAACATTGTCTTGGAATCGGGTAGACGTTGCCAGATCATGTCTTTTTGCTGGTGGACGTCACTGGCCTATTCACGCACTTCACTCAGCGATGAACGACGCGCTCCGACTGAATCGGGTTAGTTGACTTCTTTTCTTGTCGCTTCCACTTGAACACTGCATTGACACGAGCCGATAAGGCATTGAAAGCACACAAAGAAAGCTGCGAGTTCAAAAATGAGATCAACAGGCTTCTTATTTCTTGTCTGCAACTTCTGATATGAGAAAGAATCGGGTTTCACTTCTGGAAAAGAGGAAGAGCTGAAAAGATGTTCGTGGAGAAACGGGAAGTGAATTCTATGAGACATCGCAGGAGATGTATAGTTGCAAATTCTTGAAATAAGTCAGTAATGTAAGGGGTAGTAACTGCTCAAAATGAGCTTGAACATTCTTTGCAGGATCAACCTGGAGCAGTCAAAGTAGGATGTGATATTCGTGTCCTGACCTAAATCATATTACACCCGAAAAGAAAACTCTTGAAAACTTTTCAGAAAGAGTTTTTCCCATTTCCAAATTACTTTTTTTCCAAATTAGGTCGAATAGTTTCCAGTTTACCTGGTCAGTTCTTTTCCACTTCTTCCAGTGTATGAAAGGGCAAAGATTTCGAAGAATATAAAAGTTCCTTCAAATACATTAAAGGACATTTCTTGCATCTTGTTAGAACTAGACTTATCAAATAATTTCAGGTTGAATTTGTCGAGTGCTTGTTGGAAAATGGTGTAAATATGAAGACATTTTTGACAATTTCCACTTTGGAACAGCTGTATAACGTAGTGAGTTAGCGTTGGTCAAAGAACAGACCTTTGTTTCAAATGTGATGTTCTAGGATGATGATGCTCAACATAGTGTCCGTTTCTTAGTGGAACATGCCTCACCGAACACCTACCTCACTTTGCCGGATATCGGGTTGATTATAGAGAAATTGATGGGCAACGCTTATAAGCATTATTATACTTCACGGACCTTCAAGAACAACTATGAAAAATTCCGGAAAAAAGCTCAATTGTCGCGTTTGAGCAGCTTTCACATCCGTTTGGTGGCCAAAACATCTCCGAGACGGCGAAAAAGTCAACTTGATTATTGCAGTTCGTTTGGTTGCGACGATGGTAAGCCGAAGATGATATTTTTCTCATTTTTGTAACAAAGAAATGGTTTAAAGATACGCCTCCGGACTTCTCTTACCCATTCAATGATCTCATTTTGTGGGCAGTTCTTACTCGCAGACCAGAAATGGCTAAATGTATGTGGCTTCATGGTGAAGATGCAATGGCCAAAAGTTTGGTAGCTGCGAAATTGTACAAAGCCATAGCAAGAATAGCTGAGGAGGATTACCTAGAAGTGGAGATGGCACAAAAACTCAGGGAATATTGCGAGTAAGAGGACATTATTGGTATTCTATTTTTGTTCCAAAAAATCTTGTTTTAGCTCCTCTTGCCGGGAATCCTTGCAGCTGTTAGACTTCTGTTATCGAGAAGACAATATACAGACGCTCAAGTTGCTCACCGCTCAATTACCACATTGGGGCCATCAGAATTGTTTATCGCTAGCAGTGATGGCAAATCACAAGCCTTTTCTTGCTCATCCTTGGTAAGTACTGTGTATAGTACCTATGTTAGAGCCAAGCAAGTCCTGAGAAGTGGGCGGAGCATCGCCCATCCATGATTGGCCAGTTCAATGATCTCCACTACCGTACATGTACGGTATTACAGTATTTAACAACATGAGTCTTCATAGGCGACCGCAGAGATTATTTTGGGGTAGGGTTTCGAAAGTTAGGCACGCCCGAAAATCTAGAGTTTTCGGAAACTTCATCAAACACACAACCCGTGAAAAGGGGATTAATTTGCTTTACAAAACTTAGTCTAATTTTTGAAAAAAAAGTTGAAAAAAATCTCCTCATTTATAAAAGAGTCACTTTCACAATCTCATGACTCATGTAGACCACTTCAAAAAATTTAACGACCCATTTACAGTAGGACGTTCCTCCTTTTTCTTCTCCCCCCCCCTCTTCCCTCTCGGTCTGCAATTGGCCTACGAATCGCGAAATTTTCCAGTTCGGTCTAGATGAGTGCTAGATTGTGCAAGTGAACTTATATTGGGAAATGACTGAGAAATTCTGAAATTCTTCAGTTGCCAACGTCTCCTGGCTGAACTCTGGCATGGTTCGTTACGGGTCCGTAGGTAAGTCCCAAAGGACCGTACCCATGTTCAACACTCATTGTCAAGGCATCATTACTCTGCGCATAAGTCCACTACCTCAACCTTGAGAATATTGTTGTTAAATGGGTACGGTCCGCTATTGCACAATATGGAACGATGAAAACGTTGTCCCAGTGGGTCGAATCTCCGGGTGCTTGCAGCACTAATCTGTCCACCGGCTGCGCTGGCGCTGTCATATAAGGCTCCGTATGTTTCAGCGGGTCCATCCAACCCAGAGCAACATAATGAGGAGGCAAGTTGGCTTCTATGAACTAAGAAGTATTTGATTGAACAATGTTTCAGAGCACGACTTATGATACTATAAGTTCGCTTAGGACAGACCGTTATGAAAGGAATAGCGTTGGCAGCATGATGTCTCTACCTTTACAAAAGGTAATCTATTTGACCTCCATTGTTCTACAGGGTTGGGGGAAAGTCTTTGAACAATTTTTAATGTCCTTGTATGTTCGGCTTTTCCACAAATTTTTGTAATCTAATTATATTTGCTTCTTATACTCTTGAGTACAAGCCCTAAAAAAACTGGACTATTACCTTTTTTCCTATCGGAGATATGCCTTCTGGAATGGAGCGAGCGTTGGTGGAGAAGATGCACGAGGAGAGGATGGCTGATCAGCAAATTGCGGAGGCTCCCAAATTTTACAGATCAAGGTCTTTCCCACCTTGCGTCGTTTCCAGGATATGAACAACATCCATGTTGTATGAGTGATAAATCGGCTACTGCGGACAGTAACGAGATTCTGAAAATCGTTCGCCAACGCCTTCGTCGCAATTCTCGGCGAAGCTTTATTGAGCTGGCTTCAGAGCTTTCCATATCTGGCAGGAGAGTCTCCGACATCGTAAAAAAGGGCCTTGCGATGAAGCTTTTCAGGATGCTAAAATTTCATGCTTTTTGGGAGGACACGAAGCTGAACTGACTGCGCAGGTGGCCATCGACTGCTTGAACGTTTCTCCAAAGCACGCCACCGAACGATACTCTTTTCTGACATCAAAATTTTTACCGTGAGGAAAGTTTTCGATCGCCAAACAACAGTATCATTATGTAATCACCCCCAGAAATTAGTAGCAAGGGTTGACTCGCAAAAGAAAAGCTTCATCCGCATTCTGTAATGGTTTGCGCGGCGATCGCTTCCGACAGCAAGATGCTGGCGATTTTTGTGTCCCAGAACGTCAAGGTGGACACCGCTACGCACGTGGATAGCATCCTGAAGAAGGAATTGTTGTCCTGGACCAATACCCATTTTACCAGGAGCGATTGGGGTCCCCAGCAGGATAGCGCACCTGCGCAAAAGCAAAGTTTGTTCAAGCATGGCTCCAAAGCAACATCAGGGAGTTCATTACTCCTGCGCAATGGCCTCCGTATTGGCCGGATCTGAATACCCCCAACTACAGCGTGTGGTCAGTTCTTTAGGCCAAAACCTGCGCTCACCCATGCAAGACAGTGGAGTCTTTGCGATTTGCTCTTCAGAAGGCGTTGGAAGAAATCGACGTGAAGCACCTCCGTGCCAACATGGACAGCTTTCCCAAGCGTTTCCGAGCTTGTGCTCGCTTCAAAGGAGGAATCTTCGAATTGTGAAGCCAGCTTTGTGAGCAGACAGTTGAGTAAACATTACCTATTAATTTCATGTAAACATCTTGCCTAGCTTCAACATTACGTTAAAAATACTGTGTTCAAAGACTTTCCCTCAACCCTGTATTATAACGCTACAATTTGACCCTACAAACAGGAGTCTGCACAGTTTTCGAGCAGGGATATGACAATTTCTTTGGACATTTTTCAGTTCACTTACTCCTATAACGCTTCCCACCGTTTTTCCAAACAATGAGCATTGATATAGTGAAAAAGTCTGGGCTCCGCACTTTGTCGTTTTCTTTGGTGGAGAATGTGGTGTTTTGCCTTTTTGGAAATTTTTCGCTACCTCGAATATGCCTTTTTTGCTAACTCCAGTGGCAGTCCCGAGGAGGGAAGCGGGCGAGACAAAAAACAATTTGTGATCCGTGGCGTTGGCCAGGCTTTTCGAAAAAAAATTTCGAGGTGCTTTCCAAAATTTCTACGGGCCTATAACCTACAAATCCTAGATAAAGAGGCGTGGCGGCCGACAACCCTCGTAAAAGATTTCTTACATAGCTAATTTGGATTTCTAAGTAAACAGGTCACTTGTATATTTTTACAACTGATGTAAGTAATTTCCAAAGAATTTGCGACCCATTCCTTGAGCGGGTCGGGCCCTCGTCCCTCATTGTAGTGTACTTCACATTTTCGCAGTATCATAATCAATCAAAGTTTTATTAGTTCTGTTCTTTTCTTTATTCTTATTTTTGAGCGGACTGAATTATCTATTCCAGCTATTCAAAGCGGCACCCACTAATAGGCCAAAGATGAAGATTGGAAGCAGCGATGAATTAGATGATCTTGTGGAAAACGGCATCAATGGAGTAGGACATCAGAAGAAAGTCACAATCATATCATCAAAGCGAGGTAGCGCTATACGAGCTAGCTGTGACATGTTAGTCGAAAAGGTACGAATTGTTTTAGCAAACTGTTATTCAAAAAATCGCAAAAATTCAGACTTTGTCTCTATCGCCCGTTGCCAAAATGCGAGCGTTCTACGCTGCACCGATCACAAAGTTTTGGTCTTGGTGCATTGCATTCATGATTTTCTTGATGTTCTCATCCTATGTACTTCTAATCGAAACTCCTGTAAATCCCACAAACATAGAATATGCAACATTGGCTTATATTGTGGTCTATGCAGTGGAACACCTTCGAAAGGTGAGTGCAAACATACTTTTATTAATTCTCTGCTCACATAATGTTTCAGCTTCTTGAGCAAGAAACGCCTAAACTCAGGGAAAAATGTCGAGTATTTTATACAAAGTAAGTTTATTTATCAAAAATGCGGAAGAAGGGTTTGTATTCAATTATAGGTACTACAATCTTCTCACAGCCACAGCTTTATTACTCTTTCTTATTGGTTTCGTGTTTCGAACGCAGCCACAGCTTAGGCACTCTTACGGAAGAGTTATCCTCTCCTGCAGCAATGTCCTATGGTACATGAAAGTATGTCTCTTTTCTATTCGTGATTATGAACCCCTCAGTAACAGTTTATCCGAGCTATTAAAAATAAAACAACTTCAATTTTTATTGAAGCTCGTGTACATGTAAGTTTATGAACGCTTAAACCTTCAACCATTAAGGAGGTGGAGCAATGGTATGAGCAGCCCCTATGTCGAACTAATTGTCCCTGCCTCTAAACTAACCAAGCCCTTTACCCTCCGGGCGGTAAATCGGCATCGAAATAAATGCGGAAGATCAAGTCACTAACTAGGTAACCGGCTGATCCGGGCAAGTCGTTGCAAAGTTTGACTCGCAATCAAGACCTCTTCGATTAGAAATAGGATATGTTTGGCTATGAGCCCTAGCTCCAGACGAGAGTGGTGTAGAAGTCCTTCTATATCGAAACAGAAACATAGACCATTCGAAAAGCGGGCCAACAACCAGTGCAGAAAGATAGTACTGCTCGCGCTAACCTTTCATGACCTGCCTCAAAAATACACCATACAAGTAAGAGGCGCCAGGCTACCAACTCACTCCTAGTCTTCCTAGCAGCCAGCTATCAAGATTCCTAACAGTGTTGACAGTTATAATTCACTAGTTGGCTTTCTCGGTCCAGACCGGGCCATTGTTCTCCTGCACTGCGAACCCACCCCATCCCCTTTATATGTTACTAGCTGGCTTACCCGGCTCCGCCGTATGTTCCGAATAGAAAAGTCTATTTCTTAACCGATCCGGACCAAACTTGGCACACATACACTTCGGGCCTCGGCGGGTGTCACAGTCCACTTTTCGTTATCGATCGATGTCAATTTTATCGATTTTTTGCAAAATTCGAGCTAGGGGGCTGGAATTTGGCAGGGGGGTGTAATCGAGCATGCTGATCACCCCCACGGGGGTAATCAGCATGCTCGATTACCCCCCTGTGCCAACTCCCAGCCCCCTAGCTCAAATTTTGCAAAACATCGATAAAATCGATATCGATCGATAACGAAAAGTGGACTGTGACACCCGCCGGGGCCTGAAGTGTATATGTGCCAAGTTTGGTCCCGATCGGTTCAGAAATGGAATTTTCTATTCGGAACATACGTACAGACAGACATACATACAGTCGAGTAGATTCAGCGGTAAATATAGTGTGCTTGCACAGAAGGTGAAATGCGGTGAAATTTGCGCGTGAACAAGTAGCCACGCCAGTATTGCGGGAATCGTGCGCGCGCAATTGGTCGGCGTCACAGTCGAAGCTATTTCTTCACGCGCAAATTTTACCGCATCTCACCTTCTGTGCAAGCACACTATATTTACCGCTGAATCTACTCAACTGTACAGACAGACATACAGACAAACAGACATTCAGCTTTATATATAAGATGGATAGCTTACCCTGGAGCATCCGCTTCGAAACTGCATCCTCGTGATCTTGAGGTGAAAATGAGCTTCACCGCCCTCCTTTACATGACTGTGGCAGAATGCTTGATTAAACATGATAACCCTTTAATTCCTTAAACAAACGTAAACAAATCAATAAATCGATAGAAGGACCCAGTGAATCGCCGTAAAAAGTAGCCTAAAACCGTCTCCGGGGTCGAAAACATCTGTGTGCAAACTTTCAGCCCAATCGGTTGAGCGGCGCGCGTTTCTATAACTCACATACCCTCCAAACAAACAATTTTTGAGTTTTATATATATAGAGATTCCTAACTTAGCCGGCATTGTGCTCGTCTTTCTATTTAAAAGAACGTCTCTGACCGTTAAAATACAATGAACACACTTAGCATATAAATCTAACTGGAGCCAAGACCGGAGCGTGTGGTCCACCACTACTGTCAAACACGCTACAGTTCAGTGCCCATCATCAACACATTGACGGCAACGCAAATTTTTAGTCGTTGCCTTTTAAGACCTAGGCTTTTCACAGACCAGTCAGCAGTCTTCAGATATCTTCCCATCATAATGCCATCCACAGTATGCCTATAGTAGTTCTGAGGCAACCAGCAAAAAATGGTTGTTTCTAGATCTAGCTTCGAAGAAAAAACCCTGGAGTGAGTTTGTCCCGACATAGTCATCATCTATATATAAATAAAACCGAACCTCTGTAAATTTGTTCGTATGTAAGTATGTGGCTTATAGACTCTTTTGTGCGTGAACCGATGGGGCTAAAATTTGTCCCCGTATAAATAAGGCACGGCGCAGAAGATAGACTACTTTTTGCCACGATTTGTTGGACCTTTCAATCGATTTATTGATTTGTTTACCTACACCGAGGGTTCACCAACCATTGTTGGATCATTTCTTCATAGTCATGTAAGTTGGGCGGTGAAGTTCATCTACATTTTTCGTCGAAAAGAATCCGGTGTTTCAAGTCAGCAAGGAAGAATCACACTTCGTCGCAGAATGAAGAAGGGCGGTGAGTTTCAATGCGTCTGGGATCAAGTAGCCCAAATCCCGGGTGGGACCGGGATCGCCATCTAGTTCCAACTAAATTCATGCCCTGACCGCCATGTGTATCATGCGGTCGTGAATGTGTTAATTCCAAATAATTAACACAAAACAATCTAGTACAATGGGATGAGATATCGTCCTTCTGTTGCCCGCAGCGCGCTTAGCCTAAACTCGTGGGTTCCCCGACCGATGCTAGATGGCATCGCCTACATGCACAAAAAACCTCCAGATTCCGCCTATTCAGCCTAATACTCAAAAGCCCTTCTGAACTCCTTTACCTATACCCATCAAAGACAAACTAACCATAATTACAGGTCCTAGAATACCTTTCCGTGCATCCGCTGCTCGGTCCGTACATCCAGATGGCTGCCAAAATGGTTGTCTCCATGTGCTACATCATTGTCTTACTTCTAGTTACTTTGATGGCTTTTGGTGTGTCACGACAGGCAATAACGTACCCGCACGAAAAGTGGAATTGGCTTCTTGTAAGGTACTCAGATTATCACTGCTTTCATAATACACAGAGTGAACTTGTAGGAACATTTTCTACAAACCGTACTTTATGTTGTACGGTGAAGTCTATGCAGGAGAAATCGACACATGTGGGGATGAAGGCAAGTGAACCTAACTTTGCTCTTATAACTCTCCGTAAATAATCAGGCTTTAGCGTGGAAAGCATTCAGAAAAGGAGAAACATTTGAAGGTGACATCGAAGTGAACTTGATAGTAGTGTGTTGCATGCGTTGTGGTGGTCAACTCCTATTAAGCCAGTTTGACGTAAAGCTTTATTTTAGGAACGAATTGTGTTCCCGGAGGATGGATACCGCCTGTTTTAATGACAATTTTTCTTCTTGTTGCTAATATCTTGCTCATAAACATGCTAATTGCCATCTTCAAGTATGTTTAGCACATGATCACAAACCGTGAAATGAGAACTGGTGTTTCAGTAATATCTTCAACGACACCAACATTCGCTCTCAAGAAGTTTGGCTCTTTCAAAGATACTGGCAGGTACAAAGTTAGATAATCATCAACTGCATTAAGGGAGAATGGGACAGTGGAGAGCAAAGGCTTGAAAAAGAGACTTTTCGTTTAAGAAGAAGTGCTCAGCGTGGAGTCACTATAGGGTTATGAGAAAGTCCTTGAACAAACTTTGGCTTTGGCGTCTTTGTGCTTCCGCTCATTTTACTTCTTCTTGTATATTAATACATCCATATTGTGAAATACATGCCTTAAAACTGGAATGAACTGCTTACCTATCGAGAATATGCCTTTGGAATAAAAAAGCTGATTAAGCACGAGGGGGGAAATACCAGTGGCCGTATTCCTCAACGAACCCCGAGGGTTAAACTAACCCTGGAGGGTTAGTTTAACCCTGGAAAGCGTTTAACCCGTATTCATGAAACACAGGGTAGGCTTAACCCAGCGGGTTAATTCTAACCTTGAGGGTTAATTTTACCCCGAAAGCGACTAACCCGTATTCATCAACGAACCGTGAGGGTTAAACTAACCCTGGAGGGTTTAACTTACGTGGTTCATCAGGGTTAATTTAATCCTAGCTCAGAGCAAGGTTAACTCTACCCTAACGCTTCATACAAACATTTACTCGCATCTAATAGTTTATGGAAAACGATCAACGAGTATTGTAGTATTCAGTATTGGTCGTTGTTATAGTATTTAGTTTCGACTTCGTTTTATGTTCATATTCGAAGTACATGAAACCCTGACTTCGCGAGAAAAAGAATTCTAGCTTTGGTGACAAATGAATGCGACGAAGAAAAGTGGCATTCCACTCTGACAAGTGCCAAAACAGAAGAACCCCTTTTTAATAACATTGACCCCTAAAAGAGTAGCACAAGCCCGGTATAAAACGAACTGCGCAAAAGTATTAGGGTGAACGGTAAAAAATGGGACAACTTGATTTTTTTTACATTTTGAGGTTTTTTGTTCTCATCAACAAAAAGCAGGCTACAACTCAAACGTTGCTTACATAAACGACCTTCGCCTATTATTCTGGCAACGCGTTACCGCTCCTCTCTCATAACCGTACGCGTGGCGCCGTAAAGAACTCAAACAGGGTTTTTGGAACAGTTCTCGATCTTGCGCTACTATACCGTAAAGTCGTAAAGCATATGACATACCATTCGAAAAAGCTTTTCATGCTCTTTCAACTGGTATGTCAAATGCTTAAGAATTCTTTTCAATTTCAGAAAAAAAGGGAAAAAACACGAAAAATAGCTATTTTTGGCGCAATAAAAAACCAAAAAAATCATGTTTTGCCCTATATTTCCCAAAGATAGATAAAATCAGATAATCTGCATATGGATGGATAGAGCGCAAAAAGCTCTATCAGATGGTGCCAAGAAAACATGCGTTCACCTGCAAAGAATTGAATAGCGCGTGTCTTTGTCCTCAAAGCTGCTAATGGCCATATCTCCTGACTTTGAAAGTTGAGACCACCAACCCGTCGTGGGTTTAGTGGCTGTCCCACCACCCACTCCAGCAGTGGTACTTTGGGTGGTCTCAGATGTTTCGCTGCGCAGATACTGCTCAAACTTCATAATATATCGAAGTGACTAACTTTGCATTTCAGCAAGTACAAAAATTATTAACCATGTAAATGACCTTATATAGGTACTATCAGAAAGATAATAACATATTCTAACATCTTTCAAAATTGGAAAGCCTAATCGCTTCTCATTCTTGAGAAACCTCCAGTTATTTCGTAAGTGTCCCATTTTTTACCGTTCACCCTAATAGAACTTACACTGCACAATTGCACACATGAAAATAAATTTACGCTGTAAGATTGGATGCTGCACAAGCATGCTAGAGATGTATTATAAAAACTAGTGTTAGAAGCTTATTCGTTGACTATACTACTATAGGTGAAAGAATCATAACTTATAATAACGGGCTAAGGTTGTTTACGTGTTTTTGTGTGTGTGTATGTCTGTGTGTCTGTCTGTAATGAAATTCGTAGAGCGAGTTCCAGCCAACGTCCTGAGCCCAAATTTTGCACATCGCATGCGGCCAACATAAGAGCCTACAGTGCAAAAGCACGAGTGGTTTTGTTGAGTGGATCCCTCAGAAACTGCGCGTCGAACGGAACCACTTGGGTTCTGGCCGGCAAAATTGGTTCCGTATCACCACTTTTTGCAAAGTCGGAGATGTGTTTGGCATGCTGATGTGCAAACCATGGATTTAGTCTAAAAAAGTGGACAAAAGTTTACTACCTTACGAGAACGACGCCAAAAAGAAATGGTTGCGTGAATGGTTAATTTGCCATGGTTTTGCCTGAGCATTAGAGAAGAATTTTGCACAGAGATGTAGCTCACGCTGCCTACTGTCCATATGTCAGCTATCAAGCCAGAAAGAGTCCAAAAACCTATTTGAATTTGTATTTGTTCTTCTGCGAAAAGTTTCATCCACGCGAAATCACCGATCTCACGTGAAAAGACTTTCTAAATGAGTGGTTGTTTACATTTTATTCGTGGTAGTTGGCATAGCGCGGTGAGTTCCAGTGCCACGATTTTACGAGAATGAGTAAGGCACATAGATAGTAGAGCCAGTGCGAACCTCTGCGAAGCAGAGGTGACGCACTGGTAGAAGTATAAAGTGAATTTAGCCTGTACTTAGGCATTTTGTGATGTGAGTTTGCACAGCGCACGCATAATTGACGCCTTAACCCTCCAGGGTTAATTTAACCCTCAGGGTTCGGAATACGGCCACAGGTTCGTTGATCGATACGGGTGGATTGCGTTCCGTGGTAAACCCTAGCCTATGGTTGATGAATACGGCCAATGAACCCTGAGGGTTAAACTAACCCTGGAGGGTAAGCTTAACCCTCAGGGTTCGTTGATGAATACGGCCACAGCAGACGCGCAGATTCTATAAATTTCGCGGGAAGAATTTCACGATACTTTTGCAACAGTTTCGGTTCGATCAGTCCAAGTTGCGAAAGCTTCATTTTTGCTTGTAATCCAGTAAATTTCCAAATTTCAGTAGTTATGAAAAACTGTTTAGAATTTGCTATTCCTTTATCAAAAATCAAACAAATTACGCTGACTTATAGCACACAATGCACTCTGCATAATGCCGAAGTTGAGCGCACCATATGCAAAGAGAGAAAGTTATGAAATAAGCTGCAAAACTTAGTTAACAGTCTAATATTTTTGTCATAGTTATGAAATCATGCTACGAAACAGCGTATTTGGCTTTATTATCAGTGGAACTGTCAGAAAATGTTGTTGTCCTTTGTGCATGCAAACGCACCATCATCCAAAGCGTCTCCCATAATCATTGGTCTCGGCCAGAGTACAGACTAATTTAAAAAGGCTCATTGAAAATTGGTCAAAGTTAGGATTCCTTTTTCCTCACTACTGGTTCAATCCACCATTTTTTGCATTGATACATTGCTGACTTATAAAAGCCTTTCTGAAGACAGGACAAATTTTGATACTTTGTTGAAATCTAGGTGATGGAATACAACGATACACCGCTACTGCCGCCTCCCTTCACTCTGCTATCATACATCGGGCGACTCTTGTGCTTTTGCAAGGTAATTGCTATTTAGAAATAATAGCAAATTTCTCTTCTATTTACCCTTTGCAGAAAAAGCCCTTGAAAGCAGAAAAGGAACGTGACGACGTGATTAACAACTGTTCCATGCGTTAGTTTCCTCTTTCTTTTTTGAAAAGAATAAAGACAGTATAGTTACTTGCTGTGACACGCATAATATCATCTGTCAAATCAATGTTTTTCTTACGGAAATCAATCATACATTGCAAAATATTCGAAAAGGGCATTGGTGGTTTATTTGGAACAAGAAAGATATTAATCTTGTTGCATCTCTTATAATTTGGTACAATTTGGGTGGTCAAAAAGGCAATTTATTTTTGAAAAAAAAAACATCTTTGATACAATGCTTCTCTCAAGGGCTATGCTTGAACGCGGAAGAATTACGCGAATTACATGATTTCGAGGAAGATTGCATGGACGAACTTACCAGGAAGAGATTACGTAACGAAAAGGGAGATACGGATGCAATCTGGCTGAATGCGATGGAACTGTAAGTTACCTCCCTGTGGACCGCAACCTTGTGTATGAGAAATTTTATTATAGGACAGAGCTCACTTCACAGAGAGTGAACGAACTGCTGCAAGAAAACTACTCGCTGAAAAGTCGGCTGTGTGACATGGAGACAAGGATGGACATCATAGCCAAATCTCAAAGAGATTTGATGGATGCGATGTTGCGAAAGCGAAAGGTATGACCATTTCTTATAATTTTTTGACACGAAGATGGCCTATGGTGTGCTACGACAATTCAAACTCCTACCTTCCTGAACGTTGAGAAAAGGAGAGTTGAAAATTTAGAAAAAAAACAGACTTTGAACGCGCCTATCTTTACCGTTGTGAGCTCTACCCCCCTGTGTTCTGCTGCTAAGATTGCGTTTGCTCCCCTTAGGTTTTGCGCTTCGTTTGACAGCTTCTAAATGCGTTTGGCGTCAACCCCCCCCCCCCTTCCCTTTCCCTCCTCGGGTAACTAATTCCCGTGGCACACTGTTTGATCGATAGCAAACGGCCTCTCCCGAACTCTATATGCAAAGTCTGGTCCGGATCAAACCGGTTAGAATGTGGAATTTTTTATGGACATATATAGAGCAAGTCAAATAGCAAACAGGCACAACAGCAACAGCACAACAACAGACAACACTTTGGCTGTATATGAATAACTGGAATTGCGGGTGAAATAATCACTAATTACAATCATTCGTTTATTGCAGCAATCCAGGGCAGAGTCTTCTCGTACATCAACTCAGTCGCTGCCAGAAGCGGATGATGCTAGGTGAGTTTTTCTTGTGGGAGTTCCAAGGCCATTCCATCTCTCTTTCAAATTTTGATACAAATATTAAAGCGCATGAGGTTTGGTCTAAGCAATTTTCTTTCGTCCCCGCAGCGTCTGTTAGTACAGCGATCGAGTATTTGATAAGAGATACGCTTGAAAAGAAGCGCCTCCATGAACTTGCACTTCATATTCCCAGCCCGTCACCACTTCTCGGCGTAACCTTTTGTTTTTCAAATCGTTTCTGCAAGATCGTTTTGCAACACCGACTCAACGCCCAGTGTGACTCTGTTTCAGACGAAAAACAGCTGTCATCGGTCCCATGGTTTCTCCCATAACTGAGCAAGTTCTCTTGTGTCCTTACCCAGACCGAACTAAAGCAGCTTCGCCATTGCTCAGCCACTTAAGAATGGATCAGACTTTGAGGAAATATGATGAGGTAGTGGCTTACAAGTTGCACAATGGCGTACCGTAAACGCTTTTCTCAGACACGCTATCAAAGATCTCCAAGCTGTCGAAGGCCTCGTCTAAATTCTTCTTCGTTATCGGTTTCACAGGACATGAGGGATATGGATAGGTGGAGGACAATAAAATGTAATGTGATTTGTGCTATATAGTCCTTTAGGAATCACCGAACGAGTGAAGTAGTTACATCAGACGAGGATGTCCCTGGCGTTATTGTCCACGAGCCCTGGGAGGACAGTTCCTAACTACAAACAATCATCCTTAGGTCACTTCCAAATTACATGGTTTAGTAGATTTACTCAACTTGTAACTATGGCTTTCTCTTTCAAGAAAAAGTGCTCAGGATTCTTTGTCTATGGACTAAGATTTGTACAGTTCATACCTCTTAGTTCATCTTCTGCTCATGACTGATGCTCAATAAAATTTATACTTTTCATTGTTCATGTTTTCTCATGTTGATACTTTTTATGGTGCATTCGATTCGTTTTTGGTATTCTATAATTAATTGCAATTTTAGCTAGTGTAGTACATCAGCATCCACGTGTGACAAATATTCGTTCAGTTCTCGCTTAGGGCGCAGGACAGAAGTCATGGAAGAATCTGGACTCCCCTTCGAAAGAAAGCAAATGCATCTTGTACTTCATGCTGTTCAGGCGTATAATAACCTCACAATCACCATGCTTCTGGCTCCAACGCGTTTTTCTAAGTGCGCGAAATTCACACGTAATACTAAAGCAATTTTGTTCACAACGCCACTACTTTTTCTCAGATAAATCTTTATCTAAGACTTTTTCAACTGGAACATATCCTTTTGCAGATGCACATAATTTTCGAATTTTTTCATTCCGCACTTCCATTGAGAACCCACCTTGCCGCGAAGAGACCTATCCAAAGCGTTCCTCTCCGCATTTCTTTTGATCTGCTCTTTCCTATCGCTGCTTCAAACTGCAAAATTTTAGCACGTCTTATTTAATGTTTTATGCCGTTATTTCTAGGTGCAAAGAATTATCAAGTAAGACAGAAATAAGAAAGGCGAGAACATTTTAAGAACTTACTTCAAAAGTTTCCACGTGCAAATGAAATTCTCAAAAAGTGCTTTGGTTGAGCGTTGCGGATCGTGCAGTAGTAGCGAGAAAGAGCTCGTTTGAAGTACATATCCAAATCTGAAAGGGAATATCCAATTAGAACGAAGTCAAGTTAATAAAAACAAAAAGATATAAATAAAGCGTATTCTATCTATATAGTGAAACTAGTACATTAAATAAATGATTAAATCAATGTGTTCGGTCTATTGTTCGTGATTGTTCGACTATACTAGCAGTCATCCATCACATTTTACAAAATATGCCTAGTGCCGTATCACTCCTTTTGTTCTTCGCTTTCGAGGAAGGACTAATTATGAATAAATCCAGAACCAGGGCAAATGAAGTCCGCGCCGATCCATGATTTTTGATATCGGCACATTCATCATGTAATCGCCTTCTCGCTATTACTCACCTGACTTATGGCCAATCACAGCGTTTCCGTAGACTGTGAACCGATTACTAACATTGTATTCGCGGCAGGATCTGGATGCTATCTAGTAAACCGCTAGAGGAGTGAAGAAAATGTGCAAACTATAAAGGCAGATAGATAATGAGTGTGCTTGATTACGCAAGTACTGATGTCTGCCGCGCTCCATGAACAAAGTATTACCGGCGGCAAAACTATTGAAAGTAATTGGACGTATTCGAGGCACACGGGTGGAGGACTATATGTCGCCGAATTTGGAAGAGTCCCGCGCGGATTCCCTGCAGGAACGCATGTCCGCGCATGTATAAGGGTGCGTATTTGTCGCGAATGACCGCGGGAACCGCCCTTTTTCGGCGACATATAGTCCTTTACCCGAGACACACAGTTGCCTGCTTTGACTCACTTCGCACCCGGTCATGCTTTCCGTCATAAAGCGCGTTAACCTCTCCGAACTTCTCCAGCTATCCATCATGAATCTCAACAATAGAAAGACGCCTATCCATGACTGTTCTCAACGAAAGACATGCAATCGAGCCGCATCCTCTTTATTAGGTTCATTGCAGCACATTTCTCATATATCTTTGAGCGAAAAGAAAGCAGAGTTATCCGAAAGACATGGGAAATTGCAAAATTATAAGCTCAATCTCAACAATAACTTCTGGGAATTTGAGACTAGAAGTTATTAGTCTCTGGAAGCTCAAATAGATAGACCCGACCATGCATGACTAAACTGAGAGATACATTATGGAGAGTGGAGTATAGAAGAGATCAAGCTCATGATTAGACCATACTATAAGACGTTCGTCTAAGTCTCTAATATGTAGCGCAATACTGGCGATGACAAAAAAAGGACTGAATTGAGATAGGAAATGATGAAAGAATACAAGGATGGATTGAAAGCTAGATGTATACACTGGAACACCGAGCGTGACCAAGAAATTCAACAACGCATACATACAAGATGCTACGAAAGGGCTTTTACTGCTTGCAAATAGACATGTTTCTTTGCATAGGCCGATGTCGCGTATTGGTAAGACCGAAAGATAAGTTTTCTCCAGAAAGTGCATTGATTGTACTTCTGCGATTTGTATATCCTTCAACAGCTTATAAAATTTAGGAGAAAAAGAAAAAGATCGTAACGGGATAAATGTCAATGAGCCTAGAAAAATCAAACGCAAAGGAACTGAGAAGAAGGTCGGCGTTTGCCGCCGCGTCCTCAAACCATTTGAAGAACCCCTCGTATTTTTATAAAGGCACCATGTAATTGAAAGCTAACATCTTATAGCAGAAGAAGTTAGACAGAAAAAAGAAAATTAAGAAGGCTGAATGCCTGCGCGTTCGCTTTAGACTCAAAGACCTTTACGATCACGCAAGCTCTACACTAAGGCATCCGCAAAAGCAGATCATATATCTAACATAAATGAAGAGTGAGACAATGCAAACACGTGAAACACAACACTAGGTAGCAAAAACTTAGAAACTGTGAGGATGGCAATCTTTTTGATCACACTTTCGCGGATCGCATAAGCATCCATTCAGATTTCGATAATCGAAGTCTTCCCTACCCTCCGGTTTTGGCAGTTTTTGAGTGTGAACGGCGAAAATCAAAAAAAGTACTAATGATAAACTGTTACAACCGAGAGAAAGAAGAGGAAGTAAGCAAAAACAGGTGTGGAGAACATATTAATCACAGGCTGAAATGCATAAACTTTAAGTTCTGAGAGTTTGCCGCGCTCTACGGCCAAAAGCATGACCACGTGCAAAATGAGCCAAAGTAGATAGCTGTGTGCCTCGGATATGAGTAGTTGTGTGTCTCAAATACGCCATAACATTGCAGCATGCCACCTTCTCAGTCGGTCGAAGGGATACCCCCGGAGGACAAATGGCAGGGGTCTGCCACTTCGTGCTCTGGGGCCCTTCCAATTCACCCATTTTGGTGCTCCGGGGCTCCTCCAAACCAAAATGTGAAGTGGGAGGGCTCCGGAGCACGAGTGTCAAACCCCCGCTGGGCAGAGCCCGGGACCCTCCCATTTTCGCTCCGGATGTATCCCTTGACTGTCTGAGTTACCGGTGCCCCCTTCCCTCCTGCGGTGGGAGGGAAACCGCGAGCTCGTCACAGCGCGTGTAAGAATGGCTTGCGCCACGGGCTTGGGGGAGTCTTCTTGGCAGGGGAGGGGCTGCATGCTGTGCGCTCGAACTTACCCTTTCACATCAAAATCCCAAAGACACTGCTTTTAGGGTTATTTTTATCATTGGAAAATTGTTCTCAAAAGTGCTAATCAACACATCTTACAACTCAGTTAAGCAGGATATTAAGCAAAAGTCTTCTTGAGCAATTCCTCTCGAATCGTGTTTTAGTAAGAAAGCAGTTTTTTAGGTTGTCACAAAAATTTACCCTAGTACCACTGAGAAACGCACCTTTTTCATTTTTCAATCAAACAGCTTGGTTTCACCACTGTGCCTTGCGGAATGGTCGCTCTCCATCTTCTTTTAGGTAAGCAGCAGCAGGGTAGAGGGCTTATTGTCGCGAAAACTTTTATTGTTTCAAAGGTGGTTGAGTTAGAAAAAAAAGATGGATTTTGTACATGAGAAACTAGAGTAATTTACGAAGTGTTATCTGAGGCCTTTGAGGCTTCTTCAGTAGTTGATAGGGCAAACCTTTTGCGAAGTATGCAAATTTCGGTCATCAATTTGCCTTTACTGCTGGCTATCAAAGCTCCTTTAATAGTCTCAAGCAAAATTTTTGGGAATTAGCAACAATCAGACAAATCAGAATTCATGTTCGACTATCCATAAATCTTGGCATAGTTTGAATCTTCTACTTGATTTCGTAGCAGCATCCAAGATAGATACAGATAATTATTCAGTATTGTACAGACTGACGTTTCGGCAAAGCCTTCCTCAGAGTCTGAAAAGTCGAAGACACATAAGTAAACTATCCGATCAAACACCTTGTCAACTATAGAAAAGAGTCCAACCCTTTGAAAACGCAACAGTATCATCTAAAACGCAAGATTGAGCCAGTGCTCACCAGAAGTGCGATAGGGGGAGCCAAGTCTCCCCCTACCTTCACTTTTGAGCTGGTACGGGGTGACCACCTTCACTTTTGGAATAAAAAATTTTCGCTGGACGACAAAGAAGGAAAATAAGCAAAACAAACGCAAAAAAGATTATTGAAAGCATATATTTATGTATACGGCGGCATATATATTTAAAATAAAGGTTTTTAGTAAATGGTGTATTTGGAAGTAAAGCTTAGCAAAACTGTACGGATTTTATTAAGCAAATTATGTTATAACGTATAGCGAAGGAAGTAGGTCGATCCAGGCAGTAACGGCGGAGAACCAGAATTTTGAATATTTAAATAGTGAAAAATCATGCAAAATTTCCACTGTTATAAATCTGTTGTTTGAAGATGTCAGCAGTTGCGACTTCATAGGTTTTGAAGAGTAGATGTTGCTCTATCAGCTAGTGAAGGAATCGGGTCGATTTAAGAGATAGTCGTTGAAAACCAGAGTTCTAAAACTTTACGCCATTTTTGCGTGTTTTTTGACTGTTGAGAGTTAAACTCTTATAAATCTTGAATGTGGAAGTGTATGATGTTGCGACTTCATAGGTTTCATAGAGTAAGGTTTGCCTTATCAGAATATGTCTTGTCCGTTCCGATCCATTGAAACACCTCCGAGATCCAGAGTCATGAAAAAGCAGGTAAAAAAGAGCTTTTTGAACTTCAACAGCTCATAACTTCTTCAGAACTGCACGAATCATGTTGCGACTTCATAGGTTGAATTCCTCTCATCAAGGGCTTTCAGATGATATATAATATGTGGGGGTTTCGCGCCTCTTACGGCATATGCCCGGGGGGGGGGGGAGACTTTTTAGGCCAAAGTCTCCCCCTCGCCCATTTTAATGTATTGGCTGGAGGCTGCCGGGGGAGACTTTGGCCTAAAAAGTCTCCCCCCCCCGGGCATATGCCGTAAGAGGCGCGAAACCCCCACATATTATATATCATCTGAAAGCTCTTGACGAGAAGAATCTAATTTATGAAGTCGCAACATGATTCGTGCAATCCTGAAGAAGTTATGAGCTGTTGAAGTTCAAAAAGCTCTTTTTTACCTGCTTTTTCATGACTCTGGATCTCGGAGGTGTTTCAATGGATCGGAACGGACAAGACATATTCTGATAAGGCAAACCTTACTCTATAAAACCTATGAAGTCGCAACATCATACACTTCCACATTCAAGATTTATAAGAGTTTAACTCTCAACAGTCAAAAAACATGCAAAAATGGCGTAAAGTTTTAGAACTCTGGTTTTCAACGACTATCTCTTAAATCGACCATTCCTTCACTAGCTGATAGAGCAACATTTACTCTTTAGAACCTATGAAGTCGCAACTGCTGACATCTTCAAACAACAGATTTATAACAGTGGAAATTTTGCATGATTTTTCACTATTTATTTATTCGAAATTCTGATTCTCGGCCGTTACTGCCTGGATCGATCTACTTTCTTCGCTGTACGTTATAACAAAATTTGCTTAATAAAATCCGTACAGTCCAACAAACTTCTACTTCCAAATACACCATTTACTAAACACGTCTATTTTAAATTTTTATAAATAAAATTTATAGATATTTTTAATATTCATCGTATCTGTGGCCCTAAAGAGGGCCGTTGGGTCAACGTTAGACCTAGAAAGATAGCTCCGTTCGTCCGTTCTATCCTCCCCCCGCACCTCCCCCCCCCCCCCCCCGTCGACGTTTTTGGGAGGTGAGTGTCCGACACTACCACCTTCACTTTTGGCCGGCCAGTGGTAGCTGAAACCACCTTCACTTTTGGGGGACCCGGCTCCCCCTATCGCACCTCTGGTGCTCACCTTAACAGGTGATAGTTTTGATGTTTGCAGACCACTTATCAAAAACTGTACTGCATTACTTTTATATAATAATTAACTTTATTTCATTTTCTGACATGAGTGGTCTGCACGCACCAAAATTTATTATCTGCTAAGGTGAGCACTGGCTTAATCTTGCTTTTTGGTTGATAGTGTTGCATTTGCAAAGGGTTGGGCTCTTTTATGCAGTTGACAGGTGTTTGATCGGATAGTTCACTTATGTGTTTTTGAAATTCAGACTCTGAGGAAGGCGAGTTTGCGAAAACGTCAGTTTGTATATTGTGGAATAAATTATCTGTACCAATCTTGGACGCTGCTAAAGAAATCAACTAGAACAATCAGACAAATTAGTTCAAATCGGCAATTACCCACTTAATGGAAGAGTCGCATTGCTAACATATTAACCATTTCACTTTAGCAGATTTGGGGTTGGGTTCAAAAATGGCAGAACTTTTGCACCGTACTAATGTAACCAAAAAACGTGAAAAGCGTTATTATACAAAATCGCCCCTTGCTGCATACACCGAAAAAAGTCAAACTATCGAAGCACTAAGTCAACTCTGGTCTCCAGCTGTGTTCGTTCCTTGTAGAACTAGCATGAATCATGTTGCGTTGACCAAGTTTAGCAGTTGTAAGCCTTGCTGATACAATTCAAATTTATCGGCTCTAGATTCTTTACTTATTGAGCTGTGAATGCTTGCAAGTCATTCATAGTAAGCCAATCCCAATGTATTCAAACATACACGTGCACTGGGTTTCATACAGGACAGCGGTAGCTTGGTAAGGAGCGATCCGTATCGCAATCCACCTATACAAAACGAATTAAAGTTTGTTTGTAGAAAGACCTTCGAGTGTCAAATTAGAAGGACGAGAAAACAGTTCAAAACTATGAGCAAACTCTGTGGCTGAGCATTGTAGATGAAACAGCGACTATGCCGTCGTTTCATATCAGAACATGATAGATTACTTGTTCTTTTTCCAGCCTTTTCTATCTAGAAGTCTAGAACTGTGCCTAGGAAGACACACAGTTCATTGAACTTTTTGGCATTTTCTTGCCGCGACATCGACAAATGTGCAGAACACATTCAACGAAACTTGTTCAGTGGTGAACGTCTCAGTATGTTTCTCTGGCAGTCACCTTTATTGACAAAACCAGGAACTTTTCTGCTTTCAATGGTAGATTACGGATCTTTTCAGCAACCAATGGTGTCAACAAGAAACAAATTTATTATTGGCGCAAATTAGTTTGAATCATAACAATCTTCTCTTAAACAAAACTAACTCCTTAAACTAATCGCAAAAAATTAGCCAAGGACATTATCAAGTGACCGGTTTTGTGTTTCGGCAAAAAATTAGCTAGTACATGAACCGTTACCATGCCTCCTCTTCAACCTGGGTCAGCAATGAAACGCCCACTTTCTCATGTTCGGTGCTCAAGTGTTTGCGGTCGTCGCTTCTCTCCTATTCTTCGGAGATTTTTGCATCGCAACATCGAGAGGAGTCGCATATGAAAAATCGACCTTTTCAACAGTTGTTTATCCAAGGGCACGTCGGGATGATACGATTATTGAAGACTTCCATGGCACTAAGGTTTGTTGCTTATATCTAAACAGCTTTTTCCATAAATCTCCTGTTACAGGTTGCCGACCCGTACCGTTGGTTGGAAAACCCCGATGCTCCAGAAACTCGTAGATTTGTATACGAGCTTAATGCTATTTCCAGACCATTTTTCAATGCTGCACCAAGTCGCAACCAAATAAGAGCAAAGTAAATTTTCAAAATGCCACCTCGAGGATCTAAATTTGCGAACTTTGTTAGGCTAAATACATTATTCAACTACGAGAAGTTTTGGTGTCCGATCAAATATGGGAGGTACTACTACTACAGCCACAACACTGGATCACAAAACCAGAAGTGAGTTTGTAACCAACACATTTGATCTGGAGTATGGAAAACAATTGCATCCCTCTCGTGTCTGCAAATAAGCATTCCAAGAAACCTACATAAAATCTTTCCTCAATAAGATCATAACATCCCGGAACGCAGATCATGTCCATTTCTAATATCCTCACCTCTAATATTTTGGTTCTTTGTATTTGCGTTAAGATTTCTTCTTCCTTAAACAATTTACAACTCCATTGCCTTTTGTTTTACTAACAATAAGTATCAAAGCCGCTCACCATTTAAAGGTGCTCCGTTGGGCCTTTGTAATGGGGGAGCAGGCCATATGATTTCATCCGTCTTACAAGAGAATGGTCAGAGCTCAAACCAATCAGAACTCAATTATTCCAAACAAGCTCTATATCAAACTCGTCCTAATTATCTTCCAAAGAGCTATCCAGAAGGAGTTTGAGAGTCTAAATGTACGCATTTGTCATCTAAATGTTCCACGAAAAATGTTTTGAAAACACTTATTTGGGGTTTTGGTGAATGTGCTTCTTCCCTAATTGGACTACTCACAATTACTGCAAATACGTGCCCTCAGGCTGCCTAACAAACTGTATTAGTCAAGGCTCAAAGTATTTCTCATACTCAGACGCTCACATCTGACCATTTCCTGCCTAGCCCCTTTTCATCTCCTAGAATGTTCAATTCTTTTATCTGTTCTAACATGTATCCCACTTATGCGAGTCCGCTCTTCGAGTCAGATGTCTTCACAAGTTTTTGTCTAACGCAAGGTCTCCAGTCCTTCCAGGCTCTCGCAGATTGTTTTTGATTTCGCCCATCACCGGAGCTCTGGCCTACTCTTTGATTAGATAAGAAATCGTTGACTCCTTCTCATGAAATGCCGAAAAAAAACGCAACCAACGTTGAATATCTTACGGAGTATTTTTACGAGATTTTCTTTGTCTCTTAATTGGAAAAGAGAGAAGCTTAAGGCGAGATACACAAAAATGTACCTCGCCTTAAGCCTCTTTATAGCAAACACTCGTTTGCATTGTAAACCGGTGCTGATTTTTCGATAAAGGTAGTTTTAATCAAAATTATAATGGCATCTTGTGGTATGTTCTTCAGTGTTTTTGAGCCAAACAGGTCTGTTATTATTTATAAGCCTAAAGTTTAGGCACGATGCCTTCTTCAGTGGTATGAAAAAAAGTCGCACTATAATTTGCCAAACCTCTCTTTCTTATTTACTCTTATCAATTAATTTTGCCAAATCTCTCCCATCCCAGGCCCCGATCGATTTCTTCAAAATGGACAATTAATTCACTCCATACTAACTCCCCGATTTCACCGAAGTCGAACAGCATTGTGAATACACCCACTGATGAAAGATGACAAATAACGGAACTGTCCTATTGAGAAGCAGTTTAAGATACACACTATTTAAGCTATTCGCAATGGGACAGTTCAGTCATTTGTCATCTTTCATCAGTGGTTGTTGGTCGTTGCGTCGCTCTTGGACTTCGATGGGATTGGTGAAATTATGGAATGAATTTGTCGTACATTTTGAAGGTCGAATAGAGAAAGTGGAGGGAGGGGTTTGGCAGTGTAAGATCTAATTTATAAGTACGACCTTCTTTCAGGCTTCTAAGGACGGCATTGGTGCCGAAACATTAGGGTCAATAAATAAGTTATAAACCTGTTTGGCCTAAAAACGCCCAAGAACATATTACAACAGCCAGGTTTTGTGAACAGAAAATATATGAAGTATAATGGCATCACGCTTCTGTAAATAATCGTATCGCCTTAAGTTCACCTTAAGCTTCCTGCTAAGCTTAGAAAAAATGGTGTAAACCATACCTTTATTTAGACTTTTGATTTTTCATGGTCTTACCAGCAAGCAACAGTGTTTGTCACTTAAAGCATCGAAATAAGGGAAAGAGTTTGTCGGCTCTCTTGCTTCTATCGCATGCGGTTCTATTTAGTGTCATTTATCGGCGTCTCACGCTTAAAGACAAAGGTGAAGTCTTCTTGGACCCAAATGCGATATCCTGGGATGGCAGCGTTTCGATCAGGCCAGTCATAATCAGGAAATTTTGATGTAATGTCAACCATTCTTGCAGTTTACAAGCCTGGACGGAGGATGGTTCAATTTTTGCTTACGGGCTTAGTGAAAAAGGCAGTGACTGGATCACAGTAAAGGTAGTAATGCTAATTGAATCTAATTTTTCAGCAACTGCAATCAAATCCATTCATATATAGTTTCAAGCATAAGCTGGTTATATTCGCTAGAATGCCATTAATCCATAATTACAGTTCCGAGATGTCAATAAACGTGACCTGCGCGACGTTATTCAAGGAGTGCAGCAGTCTGAACTTGCTTGGTTGAGAGATAACTCCGGAATTTTTTACAGCAAGTATCCTAATTACAAGGTGTGGCGGTCGTCCAAAGTCCTCTAGGATAGAGATGGTTTATGATTAAACATATATGGTGTACACTTTTGCTGCCAAATAGGGAACCTCTGTGGAAAGAAATGAATACCATAGCCTTTATTTTCACTCAATGGGAACCGATTCTAGTAACGATGTGATTGTCTACGACATGAGGAAACAACCAGGCTATAAAATGTGAATTTTATTTTTTTCTTATCTGAGAAAAAGATCACAAAAAAGCCCCGCTTTATATCTTGTGTGTGTACATGATGAGTATTTGTTGCTATTTGAATGACGTGTTCAACAAACTTTTTGTCTCCATGTGTTTTTCCGTATTTTATCGGAAATGCTTGATTTTTGAAGCTCACGTATATGCACCACTTTGATCTTATGAGATTCCATTAGACCTGATTGACGCATTTTTCAGTGACGCTACAGTTTCGACAGATGGAAGATATCTGATTATTTCTGTGGATGGCGGTGCTGCAGAATCCAACAATTTGTATTACTATGAATTGTCCAACTTCAAACCCGCTCTTGGAAAAATCGTTCCCAAGCCACTATTTGATAAGCTCGATGCAAAATACACAGTGAGTAAAGGATGAGCCATAGTTGATCACTCAATCCGTCAATCAAAGTATTTTTGGGCTTTTCGAATGAAAATACTGTGCATAAAGTTTTGAATAATTCGAAGGAAGCTGATCGCAGTGACTCACTACGATGTATAGATTTCGAAACAGCTATGTCCAGATTTGGCCATTTGACTAAGTTGCAGTACATTGACAACGACGGCGACACTATGGTCATTCTAACGAACAAGGACGCGCCAAACTTCAAACTAATCAGAATTTCTCTGAAAAACCACAGTGCTTCGGACTTGATACCAGAGAGTAAAAGAAGGATACTGGATGACGCTGTAGCAGTTGCGGGCCAACTTCTGCTCGTAGCTTACATTGCAAATGTCAAAGTGAGTTCTGATTCGGATTTCTGAGCAAATTATTGAATGCTGTCAACAATCAGCCCATTAGATACCACAAACTTTACTACTTCAGCACGTCTTACAAGTTCATGACTCGAGAAGTGGATCCCTAGTATTCACCTTACCGCCTCGCGGAGGGTTCGTTAATCGCTTTCAACATTCAAGAAGCATAAAGCGCGCATTGCTCATCGATATGGTTTTAGAACAGTCAAAGAGATATCGGCAAAGAAAACTAGCAGCGAAGTGTTTATCAGCTTCGAATCTTTTATTGAACCCAAGACTGTTTATCGCATTGATCTTGCTTCCCGCAAGGGGAAGCGTCTTCCAGCGTTGCAAGAAATATGGCGAAGTCGGTTCAATGGGCTGGATAAGAGTGACTTCATGGTGCAACAAGTATTTTATAAGAGCAAAGATTCAACTGTGGTAACTCTGATCACAGAAGTTTTGAATGTCCTTCATTGACTTTCTTGAGGTACCTATGTACATCGTTTCGGAAAGAAGTTTGACAAGAAATGGTGACATACCAGTTCTACTGAGAGGATATGGAGGTAGGAATTCGCGTTGTCTTATATTTGACAAAGTTTTTACCTTGATCGAAGTAAGATATAACTGCAGTAGACTACGGGAGTAGTGAATTCTTTTCTGTAACTAAATGCTAAAGTCATAAAAGGATAGTGCGCCATTGTCATTCTGGTGTTACTGCTGTGATGCAGGAGGTCAAATAAGAACCACAAAAAGCAAAAGTATCCACTTATGCTGAACGCAAGCCATGAAACTGATTTCAAGAAACAAACATGAATGGAGTTGATACAACATGGTTTAGTGTAAATACAGGAGCAAAAGTATATACATAGACAATTATTCTTAAGTGATTTTCCTGACACATTATGAGCCGCAAGTTCTTCCTTGTATATATGAAAGAATAGGCTAGTCTAAAGTTGCATGAAATGACGAGGAATTGAACCATTAAAGCCGAGACTATAGAGCATGAATATAATCCTTGACGTCGCATGCGTTTCCGCTGGGGAAAGCACCCTACTAGGTAAGCCGCAGTTTTTGTTTTTGTAACATCATGTAACAACACTGACACCTGGATGTTTTTGCAAAAACTGCTAACAGGACTCCTACCCTCACGCTTACAGAGATGAGCAAAGTTTGAGCGACTGCATCTTACAAAAGAAAGTTATGGGCTCTAAGATGACCATAACCTTTACCCATGTTAAGCCGCCGATATCACTTCAGATAACTTCAAAAAATACGGTTAAATATGCATAATGTAGACAGTTTCCATCTCATTTAGCAACTAATTTTTCGATAAATCACCTTCATTCGCGCTCAGATTCTGGCCAGAAAAATGAATGCAATGAAAATCTGGTTTTGAGTGCGACTGTTTGAAGCTCTATAAATTCTTAACAGAGTGGGCTAAAAGTCCATTTCGAACACCATTAGCTAAAGCATGAAAAGAGCTTTCTAACAAGTGCGGAAACCATTACAAAGAAAGAAGTTTGATGGAAAAAAGTTGTCCTGAAAAAAGTTCTAGGAAAACGCTCATTATTTTTGCACTAACCTAATATATCGTTGAAAGAGGTCGGCAAAAAATGTAAAAGGGCAGTTTTTTTCTCTTCATAGCCCTCCGTGTGAATATTTATGAGGTAGTTACTCACTCACTTTTTTCGTCATTTCACTCAAGGAACTCAACTTTGGCAAAACATGGGTCAAAGGGGTGAATATTAGCCTAATTGAAGGAACGAAAAGGAGTGAAAAGTAACACATGTCATGCTCTTTTTTATTAGCACCATATTTTGGTATTCTGAACACTAATTTACAGGGTTTTCCACTTCTGTTATGCCTCACATATCTTACGATATCTTGTTTGTGAAATACTTCAAAGGAATTGTTGCTTCTGCTAATATTCGCGGTGGAGGGTGAGTGCAAATTCGTGAATCCCCATGAACGAGGAAATTTTCAGAGAATATGGGGAAAACTGGCACAAAGGTGGAATTCGAGGAAATAAACAAAACGCGGTTGACGATTTCATTTCCGCAGCGGAATTTCTCATCAACAATAGCTACACTAGAAGCAAAAAGTGCGTTTGCATAGAACAAAATCAAATCGCGGAAATTTTTGATTTTCAGACTAGCCATAGCCGGCTCTTCGAATGGAGGCTTACTGGTTGCAATATGTGCACAACAGCGCCCTGAACTCTTTGGCGCTGTTGTGGGTAATGTAGGGTAACTGTTCACGAGTCATTTCGTAGAGTAGGCCTTTTTAGCACAGATTATAGACTTTTTGACATGTTACGTTATCACAAGTTTACCTCGGGAGCGTATTGGAAGACTGAATATGGAGACCCAGACTATGCGAAGGATTTCAAGTATATATACAAGTCAGTGTCAGCTTGCTTCAATACTGCAGACCGTGGTCTTGTTCCTAGATACTCTCCCCTGCACAACATCCGATATCCAATGAGTGGTCAATGGCCTGCTACTTTGATGATGACAGCGGACCATGACGATCGTGTGGTACCCAGTCATACGTTAAAATATGCTGCAACGCTCTATAACATGGTATTAGCGATATCATGTTAATAACGGGGAAAGTCACCTAACTTAGGTCGGCTTTTTGAAAAAACGATACCTATATTTGGAATCAGCATGCAACGCTGAATCAAATATCTTGTCGCTAAATGCGAAGCCTTATCATCAGAGGTGCGATAGTCGGAGCCGAGTCTCCGCCTACCTTCACTTTTGAGCTGATACCGGGTGACCACCTTCACTTTTGGGTTTGAAAAAAAATTTTTTGCTGAAGCTTAAAAGAAGGAAAATAAGCAAAAGGAAAGTAAAAGAAAGTATTGAGAGCATATTCCCATGTAGTAGGTCAATCTAGGCAGTAACCGCAGAGAACCAGTATTTCGAATGACAAAGTAGCGAAAAATCATGCGAAATTTCCACTGTCATATATCTGGTAGTTGAAGATGTCAGCAATTGCGACTTCATAGGTTTTGAAGACCAAGTGTTGTTCTACCAGATAGTGAAAGAATCGAGTCGATTTGAGCAGTGGCCGCCGAGAACGAGAATTTTGAAAAATTAAGCGATTTTAGGTTGCTTAGTGACAGCTGACGTTTAAACTCCTTCAAATCTGGAATGTGAAGGTTTGCAATGTTGCGACTTCATAGATTTTGTAGAGCAAGAATTTCTCTATCGGAGTATATCTTAGACGTACTGATACATTGAGATACCGCCGAGATCCAGGGTCTTGAAAAAGCAGGTAAAAATCCGCTTTTTGAACTTCAACAGCTCATAACTTCTTCAGAATTGCACGAATCATGTTGCGACTTCATAGGTTAGATTCTTCTCATCAAGAGCTTTCAGATGGTATATAACATGTGGGGGGGTTCAAAAATTTTTGCGGCTCTAACCCAGGGTGGAGACTTTTCACCCCAAAGTCTCCACCTCGCCCATTTAATGTACTGGCCGGAGACCGCCAGTGGAGACTTTGGGGTGAAAAGTCTCCACCCCGGGCATATGCTGTGAGAGGCGCAAAACCCCCACTTATTATATATCATCTGAAAGCTCTTGATGAGGAGAATCCAACCTATGAAGTCGCAACATGATTCATGCAATTCTGGAGAAGTTATGCGCTGTTGAATTTCAAAAAGCGGTTTTTCACTTGTTTGTTCAAGAGCCTGAATCTCGGCGGTATCTTATTGGATCGTTACGGCTAAGACATGGTCCGATACAGCAATCCTTACTCTACAAAATTTATGAAGTCGCAACATTGCACTCCTTCACATTCCAGATTTATAGGAGTCTAAACGTCAGCTGTCACTAGGTAACCTAAAATCGCTTAATTTTTCAAAATTCTCGTTCTCGGCGGCCACTGCTCAGATCGACATAAATCTTTCACTGTCTGGTAGAACAACATTTGCCCTTCAAAAACTATGAAGTCGCAATTGCTGACATCTTCAACCGCAAGATTTATGAAAATGGAAATTTCGCATAATTTATCGTTATTTTATTATTCAAAATTCTGGTTCTCGGCGGTTATTCCCTGGATCGACCTACTTTGTTTGTAGTACGTTATGACAAAATTTACTTAATAAAATCCGTACAGTCCCGCTATCTTTTACTTCCAAATACACCATTTACTAAACACGTTTATTTTAAATAAATATGCCGCCGTGTACCTAAAAATATGCCTTCAATGATCTTTTTTGCGTTTGTTTTGCTTATATTCCGCGCACTGGCGGCAACGACCTGGAAGGATAGGCTCAGTCGACGTTACCCCCCCCCCCCCCCCCGTCGACGTTTTTGGGAGGTGAGTGTCCGGCACTACCACCTTCACTTTTGGCCGGTCAGTGGTAGCTGGAACCACCTTCACTTTTGGGGGGCCCGGCTCCACCTATCGCACCTCTGCTTATCATAGAGATTACGGTATCAACATTCAGAGGTAGTGCTCATGCATAATGCTTTCTATCAACACCAAAAGACTTGACTCGATGTTATTTCAACATTCCAGCACCTTTCCTAAGCAGATTTCTACTTATAGGCTAACTTCCCATGTTCACTAGTGCGTCAACGGCACGTAACAAAAAGCTAGTAACTTTTTTCCGAATAATGCTTCGCAACTAGAAACAACAAAATTGGATTCAGCGTTCCAAGCTGATTCCGATTTATATGTTGTTCATCAAAAAGCTGACCCAAGTTAGGTGCCTTCCCTTGTAAGTTAAATGGCTACTTGTTCCAGGTAAAAGAACATCCAGAACAGACCAATCCCATATTGTTTCGTATAGACCAAAATTCCGGTCACGGGAAAGGAAAGTCTGCAGCTAAGATGGTTTGTAGATTACGTATTTACATCATGATTTGCTGAAATTTTACTCTAGGTTGCCGAAACAGTAGATGTCTATAGTTTTCTCCAGAGAGTGTTGCAATTGAGATGGACCGAATAACTCGAGAGGACTTACAGTCATTCTATTTTCTGAATAAATATTACACCCATCTCATTCTCTTTTTCATGATGATGCCTGGCACGAAATGATAGCTAAAAGAAGGGAGAACAAGATAGAAGCTGAAATTTCTTCAACACATACCCTTTCTTTTCATCATTTTGATCACAACAAAAACACTATTGCAGCAGATATATACCCTTTGTCTGAAATCTTACGTCGCATCCTCAAAATGGAGTGAAATCGTGGAGCCGCTTCTTTAGAGGTCTGCATCACGTTTGCGGAGGTCTCTTTCTGGCGCTTCGCCGCCAAAAACAGCTGATTTTGGCGGTCATCCACACATGGGTGTTATTTTATAGTTCTGCGACTATTCTACAGAAATCTTGCCTTAGATATCACGTTATATAATGGAGCAGACGAGTCGAAACGCCGCAAGGGCAGCAACACCACAAGAGTGTTCTCAAAATGACTTCTGTAATATTCTGCTACAACTAATGGCTTTGTTGTTTCAAATGTTAACGGTGAATGTTGATCTTTTCAAACAGAATTTAACTATACGTCCATATATATGCCTTACATAGCGTTCTTTTTTTATAACATAAACGTGTTCTCGTAATGGAATTCCATTACGAGTATCCACCATGCCAAGGTTAAGAGACAGCCGAACCTGGACAATCCTAAACGTGTTCTGCATAGCAACATAACGTCACAAGTAACTTTTGGACTGAACAGTACATTTGTAGATACAAACATAAACGTACCTGTCGATCGAAAGACAAGCATCTCACATTAAAGTGACGGAGTTAGCACAAGTAAGCAAGCTCTATCATAATAAAGAATATAACAACACAAATTCGGAAGCTTTTTTGTAGTTGTTAAAAAAGAGCTTGCTCCGTCTAATGCTTCACCTGTCATCACATCCACAGCAAGAACACTAGAGAAAAAAGCAAACATACAAATACACATCCACGAAATCTTGTATCGATGTAGCGTAGACCAAGATTGGTAGATAGATTTGTTGCCTTACGTACGTTTCGGCGTCTCCGCCTTCTTCAGAGCCTGGAAACGTACATATTTTGTTGGTCGGGACAGTACTACAGGCAAATTAGGGGGGGGGGGCATGGGTCAAAGGTTGGCACCTACGGTCGCTATAGCCTTCAAGTCTAAGATAGAGCGCCCCATTCTCTGCGCAACCCCCTTTTACACTATCGCTACATTGGCGATTGCTGCGTCGTGCGTCCTACACAGCATGAACTTGACATCTGTTTTGACATCCTCAATGCTCAATCGCCTAATATCAAATTTACTTGCGAAAAGCCCAGCGAAAAATGGTTAGACATCCCCAACGTTGAAGTGTATATGACTAATGGGACGTATAGGACTAGATGGTTCCGAAAACCTAATAAAAAATATCCCAGTCCAAAGTCAAATAGCTCCAAATGCTTCAGGATTTAGTGCGCATTAAGGGCCGCATGCACTAATATCCCAGCTGGGAAGGGTATCGCAGCTCAAAAGAAAGCTTCATATTCTGAAGCTCCGGATATTTGGATTTCACGCTGTCTACCTGTCCTAAGTATTCCTACTATCCTTCACTATGAATATTGAACAGGAGCGAGAAGCTGTACGAACCGCATTTTCCAGCTTTTGCATGATCCCTGATGATCCCCGGCGCTTTTCTTCAAAGTCATTTTTCTTTCTCCGAAGTTAACGAAAACCTTCCAAAGTTGTACTGAACATCTAGCACAACAGTGCTAATCATGTTGCTGATGAGAACAAATGAGTTTTTGAAAATCGAGTTTTTTGGTAAACCTCAAATTTCGACCTGTGGATCATCGAAAATTTCATGACTTCAAAACATCATTTGTTCTTATCAGCAACATGCTTAGCACTGATGGGTTAGATAATCTGCACAACTTTGGAAGTTTTTCGTTAACTTCGGAGAAAGAAAAATGACTTTGAAGAAAAGCGCCAGGGATCATCAGGGATCATACAAAATCTAGAATGGCGGTTTGTACAGCTTCTCGCTCCTGTTCAACATGTTCATAGTGAAGATAGCAGGAAAACTTACGGATAGGTACACAACGCGAAATCCAGGTATTCGGAGTTTAGAGAAATATGAAGCTTTCTTTTAAGCTGCGATCCCCTCCCCGCGGCGATGTTAGTGCATGCGGCCCTAAGAACGTTTGTTTTTCTAGGAGACTCCAATCAGCTTGTACTATAATACGAAACCCTTGAACAAGCTCCTGCGATAGATAAGTTGTTTGACGGCTCAAAAATTACTGTGTACCAGTGGCGTACCGAGGGGGGGGGCGGGGATTTTGAAAGTTGCTTATAAGGGTTATAAAAATGTGCAAATGACTTGTTTATACTTGTGAATAATTAAAATAATTTTTAAAAATTTTTAAAAATTCAAATTAGCCTTATAAAAAAATTTTTTTTGGGGGCGTGGCTGACGCCACGCCCCCTTTTTCCAGATTTTAGGGGTTGGGGACCCGCAAAAATTTTGAGAGGCACCCATAAAATTTTTTCGGAGTGCGTGGCTAACGCCACGCACCTTCATTCGAAAAAAATTTTTGTCGCGCCCCCCCCCCCCCGAGCGGAAATCCTGGGTACGCCACTGCTGTGTACTCGTGTTTGTTAGAGGCAGTGGAATGGCAAAGCCTAACAACTCAGGACTTGAACGCGGTAGCTTTCTTATCGCCCACGTATGACAACAGTGCAATCCCAGTTTCACAGCATGCCTTCCCTGCTGAGGAAATCGCTCTCAAATTTGCACGCGCAAGCCAATCTCACACGCATCCGGACGAGTTGGCAGCTTCCTCCTCACCAATGGAGGCTGCCCGCCGTAATGCTATAACCTTGGGTGCCGCAACGATTCAGCGCCATCAGTCTTGCTCCACTCGTCCAATTCTGAAGGGAAGGGCGTCGAAAAACGCTCGTTTTCGCAGTTTTCAAGCTCTCTAAAGCGGATTTTCGGAATCAGCGTATTGAGTAACCCCGAATAAGCGAAAATTTGATTAGGTTGAGATTTGCCGAGCCCTTAACTAAGTGTCAGCCTAACTCTAGAACTAGCGTACTTCCAAGCCTCACACAGTTTTTGTCTACCCCACCCTCTCCCTCGCCCAAGACTTGCAACTAGGCTTTCATTGTTTGCTTCTGTATTCGTGCTTAGTGTTGAGGTTCCCAATTTCAATGCTTTGCAGCTAACCAGAAAATGGTCAGAACTTAAATTAGCCGTTTCAAACAAGCTGTATATCATCGGAATCGTCTTGAAACGCTGATTTCAAATATATGTTTATTGCCAAGCTATATCTGTAAGGAGCTATAAGTGTTCAAATATGAGAAATTTTTCAAGTTTCGACAAATATATATCCTTGAAAGGCAGCCTGTTGGCGCGGGTTTACAATGATTATGGTTATTTCAGTTACTAGGAAGATGCACATTCACCAAAAACCTGAATAAACTTTTGAAACCTATTTCGTGGAGCATGCGCCACCATTAGTATACACTGTCATTTTTGTGAGATTGACCCTGCGTGGCCGAAAGAGATACTCAATGTTGCAAAACTTTTTCAGCTGATAGATCTTAAGATCTTAGCACAAGAAAAAAGTAGTGGAACTCCTTTTTTCTTGCGCTTCTGTGAATGAGTTTTTCAGACTTTAAAGTAGATAAGCTCTTTTCGAGAATTCTGTACTTGATGCCCGGGCCTAACCCATGTGCGAATGCGCATGACTACTAATTTTTTTTGCAACTTTTATATTGCAGATTCACTGGAGACAAAGTCTTCAGGATTTTTCGCTATCATTTTTTCATATTCTTTGGCACAATCGCGGCATTTGCAGGCAAGCATTTGCCATGTTATGTCCCCTTATGGGAGTGAGACTACCAAGGAGGTCGATGAGAGGAGAGGAAGCAGCAGCCAAGGAGTTTACAAGTCATAAACTTTATCTCTGCAGTGTGGCATTTTCATCCGCCTCTCCTTCCAAAGCAATTCTGACACTTGGCCAGAATTGCCAACTACTCCCAGATAGGGACACTCGAATTCGTATGATTGATTCGATCAAAGGGATTTTTGGAACTCTGTTGCAAATACAAGGAATATTTTTGCACAGAAACACCATAATGATAATTTATTGTACAAACTGGTGACTGGGACTTTTTTACTAATTGAGAGATGCGTAAAAAGAAATGGGTGCTTGTGAGTTGTCCAAACGTGAACGGGTAACTGAAGCTAGTGCGGATGTCGCGACATACAGCATGGTTGGCTTATTATCATGGAAAAGTCACATTTGCTTCGTTAGACTGATAATTTACTCGGAAATGAAATGGGAATTTGCGAAATAAAATAATGGCTAATTTCGGGCATCAGTTCGAGCATCGGATCTGCTTGTGACTGTTGACGTGTCGTCTTCCCAGTCCCAACGTTCATGCATACGAATTTTACGTTCTTCGCGGATCTGAAACTCAGTACCAGAATTTTCTATACCACCTTCGGAAGTAACTTTTGACTAACCCCATCTAGCATATTGTAGAATTTAGAGTAAGGAGGTGTATCTTCAAATACCAAAGCATCAATCCATGTGAGTAGCATGTTATACTGAGGTGGTGTATCACTGAGAAAATGTGCTCGTCCTTCACCTTCTCGAGCGGCTAGCTTAGCGGCATAAACTTGAGCTCGATCTATAAGAGCCAACATCCATTCTATAGAAGACAACCTCAGATAACCGCCGGGGGCAGGCGGCCATGCGAATTTTGAGCAAGCGCGCACCGGAAAAATATTCTTTGATTTTTTGCGGCCCGCTTGCAGAAATTTGGAAGAAAGTTGGCGAAATCAAAGGCGAATGCTTGAAGAACAATCGCGGTTTCTTTATGGATTAGCTGCGGCGCAGTGGCCGCATTCTCGCGGACTTTCCGCGAGAATATGCAAAAATTTCGAGGGCCGCACGGTCCTTTGTGGAGGACCGCGCAACCCCCAGGTACTTTCCGCTGAGAGAAAGTACCTCAAACTTGAGTAATTAAACCAATGGTGACACCTCTGCCACACAGAGTCTTACCTGCGCTCGACGTACGCCCGAAAATGCCTAAAAAGAGTCTGAGCGCTTGCTGAAAGTTTGGCCAGCGCTCGCTGAAAAAAATTATTTGCCGAGCTCTTGCAAAAAATGCTGTATTGCTGCCCGCTGGCAGAATATGCGACCGTGGAGGAAGTGCCGCCCGCTGAAGGTTTGGCCACGCCCCAAAATTCTGCTGACCGCCTGCAGAAAAGCGCGAGTTTGCGGACCGCCTGCCCCGGCGATTATCTGAGACGCTGTAACCTTACCCAACCTGTAACCAGTCTCCATGGTAGACTTCCCCTTGTAATTTCAATCAACATGTAGAACCAGCTTTCCAAGTCATCGCGCCTACCAAGGTCCTGTGAAAATCTTGTGTGAGATTTTAGGGCTTTTTTTTAAGTCTAAGCCTAAGCCTAAAGCCATTCACTTTTGATACCTGTCTTTTATGTGCTATAAGGCTTCCATAACGGGTAGTACCTCTCCATCCTACCTCCTTCCGTGATGGTATGACATTCCTATTCTAAAATGCGAAGCGTCACTAACGTATAACTACGAGTCCTACACTTTGAACAACCTTGTCTACATATCTTCTTGCGAGGCCGAAGTCATACATAAAGATAGTTTTTCCTTCTCTTGTTGCCTTATGCCCAGGAGCAAAATTACCGGGTTTGATATCACGAGAAATATATCCAATCGAGTGCAATTCTTCAATGGCCTGAAATGAAGGGTAGGCTTTTGTTTATAGGATTTTGTAACTTTATGACATACGTTGAAAGTTTGCATCGCTAGACGAAGAGCAGTGCTGAATGTGAACTTTCTGTCTGGCATCTCCGCCCTTAATTTGTGAAGATCCTTATGTAAAAGCGTCATCACAACGTAGACGTAGTCTGGCTTGCAAGTGCCCTAAATCACATTCACTGATGCTACGGCTCGACGATTTACCTACCTACATAATCGAATAGCTGACAAAAGTGCTTGCACTTGGCAGCATTAGCTGCTTTGAGAACATTCACTTCAATGTGTAACATCGACTTGCTGTACTTTTCCGTTTTCACCGCTATGCTCCTGCTAAAGTTTATACGACTCCCGAAGCTACAGACTGACATTCTCGCTTACTTTTGCGAATTTTGACTAAGAAATACAGTTCCGTAGCCACCATCGCCAAGGATCTGTAGCAAGCGATATCGATTCTCATCTGCTGCGATCTCGTCGTTCACCGCTGGTAACCGATCACGTTCGATTGTCGGTGCAATGCTTTCAGACGCCATCGAGGTGCTAAAGAAGTTCAAATCTGCTTCTTTGTAAGATGCTGACAGCCACCAACCTTGGCCGTGTTCAAGACGAATGGCGTACGAGGGTTGAGTGGAGAGGCCGGCCTGTAGTGTCGCTCTATACCAATAGTGTTTGAGCATTCCCCTCATTTCCTTATATATGAGCTTATAATCAGTGTGTTGATGTTTACGCATTTCAACAAAGTATATCTCATTTTGAAAAGAGTACTGAATGGGTAAAGAAGTAGATGGTTGCAGTCCCGACTAAGTTGCACAGGTAATTCAGCACTTCCAAGCTTGAGAAAATCTACGAAGGAACGGCGATGATAAGGGAAACTTCTTGCAAAATTTCGACCACGGGATTAACACTTTGTGATTTTTGATTCGCTAAGAATACCGAGTACCTGCTTACAGCATGTTATTTTTTGGATCTCTTACATTGTTAGTATCTAGTTTTTTTTGAGAATCTATTATAATTGCATATTTTACTTCTATAGGTTTATCCAAATTATACCTAATAGCAGACTGAACTTTATCAATCTCATCTACTTTCTGCGTATACTGGATTATAGATTGAAATTCTTTTAACCGCGTTACAACTGCATATTCTACTTAAGTTTAGATTTACTTATTCTAAAACCTCAACTAGAAAGGTATGTAGTTACTGACTGTATCTTATTTCTGCTTTTTTAATGTCTTTATTCTAAAAAGGTTGTGCCAAAAAAGCTAGTTTTTTGTATTTGTGCTTTGCAGATCGTGGAATGAGGAGGCAAACAAGTCAATCAACTATTAATGTCGTATTTATTTAAAGTTCTGAAAAAAGTATGTAGTGTGTTGCCATTGAGCTCATTTATTCTGGTAACAATTGTTCAGTGAGTCGGAGATAGATGTTTGGTTTATTAGTTTAAAATAAATAGTTAGTGATGTGCTAATTACATAATTAGCAAATCGTTCTTGTCACATATTACAGCGGGGTTTCTGTTACATCTATTACCCCTCTTTCATTATTATTGAATGTTGACCAGTCTCGATGGTCGCCTTCATCTATTGATACTGACGTGGACAACATGTAATAAACATTATTAGTGTTCTTTTGATTGTTAGCAGACCTAAATCCATTGTGTCCGAGGCAGTCTGTCCAAAACTCTTATGCGATTTCCTTATCGGAGGGTACTTTCCTCTTTGGCTAGGGCGATCTCATCGGGGAAACCTTACGGCCACCAACGCATTGCTGGCATCTCGTTGTGATAGCTTGCTGCAAAGCCCATGAGTACTCTCACTGAAGATCTACGTCACGTCAAAAAGAATCTTGGCAAAGTTCATCCAGAGTTTCTGAGAAAGGCCTTGTGAAAACGCTGGCGCGTACAGCTGAAGAAAACAGCGGGCAGCATCGAGGTGATCCATTACGTAATAATTATTTACAAACGAACGGACCGGCGGTGTATATCCTTTACAACACGTTCGAGCGTGCAACGTCCACCTGCGATATAAAATGCTAAGAGTAGTGAAATAGTTAGCGTCGAAAAATCCCACTTACAGAGAAGACAATGTATGTTTTCTGCTGTCCATGTTTCAAAATAGGGATGAAGGTGACCACAGGTCGACAATCCTAACCACAATGACAATAGGGATAATAAGTAGATATAAATGTGAGATATGAATAAGGAAATTTGAACTAAAATTCAACAATTATGTCACTAGCACAGCTACTAATTATTCTTTAGAAACAAACCCCTGAATTGCGATTCAGTTGACGTGTTTACCTAATCACAAGCGGTACTTGTAGCTTACAGTATGTTGCGGAACTGAAACAGGATTGCGAGTTAGATTGAATCAGCAAAGAAGATCTCATAAATTGACCCTGAACACAATTATGGTGAACCATTTTGAAAACAGTGGAATTTTATAATTCATATATTAGATTATCCAGATGAATAAAATAACATCAAACATAGTTTAAGAGAAAAAGAGCTTCAAGGGGTAAAATATCTTATGACCGCTTACCACTTTGGTTTTAATGATCAAATAAAAGGATTTGGTAATATATTAGAATCAATTGATCCAGTAGAAAAAATAGAGCATACATTTTTGAAAGGCCCTATAAGGAATAAGAGATGTAGGGGTAGGAAAAGAAGGTCTAGAAAGATAGGGAAGCGTGGAGATAGAACAAGTTATACAGTAAGGTAGATGAACTCAATCAACATGCATCTGTATACTTTATAACCTTGCAAAAGCGTACATAAATAGACTGACTGATTTTGCATTATTCCTCTTTTTACGATCTGGAATACGAACACAAATACGAAATATTGGCACTAATAGCAAAACCTTTTTGAAGTAGTCAAAAAAGGTGTAGTAATGACGATACATTACTAACCATTACATTACCGTATATAGGGAAGTTACTAGGTGCACCGAAAGTTCCGTCTTCATTTTCGAAAAATCGTGACTTCTTCCTGTCACTATAGTTTTCCATCATAAAAATACTATTAGGAAGAGTACTCGTGCACTTTCTAATGTCATCTTGCTTTCTCTCTCGCCTGCTCTAAGTGCACAGAAAATTGTGATAAGGAAATTAGTTTAATTTCAGAATTTTGAGGCAAGACTTAGAAATTCCAAAACTGTGCAATAAAATCCAAAGGAATCAGTAGCCCAGGTCTTTTGATCCCCTCTTTCTGGCTGAGCAAAATTCGCGCTGGTCGATCTCCTTTAAAAATTTATGATTTTCAAGAAAAAAATGCCAAAAAATCGGTTTCTTAAGAAAATTGAGTTTTTAACGTTTTCTCTCAAAAATCGTAACTTCTCAAAGAACAGCTCGACCAGCGCGAAATTTGCTCCTTCAGAAAGAGGGGATCGAATAATCTAGGATACTGGCTGTTTTAGATTTTATGGCGCAGTTTAGGATTTTTCAGCGGGGGCTTGCCTCAAAATTCCTAACCTGAAGTTATCTTTTCCGATTTTTATCCTTGCGATCTGAGCATAGAGGGGGCAGGCAAGGAGACAATAGAAAGTACATGAGCGCTTTCGGTTCTGAGGTCCCATCTCTAGACTATGGAAAGTTTTTTGGCTTCTGGTCGTAATGAAAAGGTTAGTGGATGGTTCAGAGCAAAACCCTCACAGGACCGGCCATACTATTCCTGCAATTCCTGTGATTCGTGTGATTTCTGCGGGTCCCGCAATAATGTATATTGCGAAAAAACAATGTATACTGAAATTCGCAAAGCGCTCCGTAGTGCGGCACATCGGAAGTTGAGGAATCATTGCAGGAATTACAGAAATCACAGAAATCACCTAGGGACGTATTCCGGAACCCAGTGGGTTCCGGAACCCATTGGGTTCGCGAACCTACTGGGGTAGATCGGTATTCATAAGTGCCCCGCTGGGTTCGCCAACCCATGACGTCACCAATGTGCCTCCTCTAGTCAGTGTACTATTTCCTCAATTTCCCACGCACAGATATTGCGCTAAACTGAAAGCGTCAACACGCTTGACACGCTTTCGGGAACTGTGGGAATGTTCGGACGGATGGATGTCATGAATCAGTGTCTCTTGTGCGACGAAACTTGCACTTCTCTTATTCTGTATTCGAGTATTCTTTCGGACCCCGAAATTTCATTTCATTTCATTTGTAAGCTCAAGGCGTTCCATAAAAAAAGACACATCAAGAAGTTAGTAATACAGCGGAAACGAACAAGACATGTAAACAAATGCAGACATCATCATGTCAGTCCGAGTCTGATCCTAATCAGACTAATTGAGAAGATAAAACAGCTTGCACTGAATATGTTGGTAGGCTCATAGATAAGTATGCAGATGTCATGAGATTTATAACTCCAAAACTTTGAATCCATGGAGATGGGACGCATGCCCCCTCGTTGCCAGCGGAACGATCTTTAGTTACTCTTAAAAGCAATCCGGCGGCTTATAAGGCAGGTCTACTGGCTTAGGTATACCAACCATAACCCAACCTAGCCGGATTGCTGGGGAGGCCCAATGACCCCAAAGGTGAAACGATTCTCATTGAATCCATTTGTTGAAATAGCAAGCTGTACGATTGACTACTAGATAGCTGAACGAAAAAGACTCGGACTGAGATGCTGATGAAACTGTGTTAGTAACTAGAACAAAACGAGTACACCAAAAATAAAAGTTTGACGCAAAGTGCGGAGATACACGAGAGGCGTCAAAGAAATAATTTACAGCCACAACTGAACCCGCAAGTCAATGCAAGATCACCGAGCACCTGAAAAGACAGGTTTTAGAGGTAAAATGGAGAAGAAAGGTGATAGAAAGCAAAGCCCAAAGCGATTCCATCCGCCATCATAGCACGTCCAAAATGTCGACAATGATATGTATGGAAATGGATGCAGAAAGAGGGCTCTACTCCTTTTTTGTTCCACTGATCTTTCTTACTCAGAGTTGTTTTTTTACCTCATAAGGAAGATACAGCCACATTTTTCGAAGATTGCACGGCATAACTAGGGGGTGGGCCACAATAATTTTAGAGTGAGCAAGATTTGGATTCTATACAGTCTATAAAAATTGTTCGCAGCCTGACTTTTTTAGGTGATTGAACGTCTTGGTAGGCCTGAGGAATGGTTTCTTTCATCCTCTTCTTCTATTTCTCTATTTTGTTTAAATCCTACGACTGAGACTGGCTGGGTTCTCGTTTTGTTCATAGTTGCTCTGTCTATTTTTTTTCTCATTTAAGGCGCACCATGAGTGTATTGAAATAATAATAATAATATCAATGTTAACTGACGTCCACGAATCCGCATAGTTACAACAACTGTTATGGTGCAAAGAGTAGCTATTCTTGTTTCGTAGTGTTTTTACTATACACACAAGTAGATCTGCGCCTTTTCTCGAACTCCTACTTTTGAACGGGATTTTCATCAGTGACAAGGCACATATTTGCAGGAAGCACTCAAGTGTTTGTCCATTTGTATTCCTTGTGCGAGACGCCCGAATGGTTAGGGGGAGTGCGTTTTCCTCAGACTGGAATACGCAAAGAGATCATTGATAGAGTTCTAATCTCTATGATGTAAACTAATAGGTGATTACCATGATTACTACTTGTCTCCTTCCCATTAGTTTTTACTACATAGATTAAGGAACAAACGATTTTTGTTTTTCTTGAATCGTTTGTCTGCTGACTTGATCGGAACGGGGGCAAGATTTTTTTTAGTTTGAGGATTACACAAACATAGACAAACATGGACAATAGACAACCAAATACAAAGACACGAATGCATGCAGACGCTCTGCTTCCTATATGAGGCTCCCTCTATAGTCGCAGCAAAATCAAATTCTAAGATAGCTTAAGCAAACTTCGGCAAGTGCTTAGGCTCTTTATAATCTGACGCAAAAAATCCCCGTTAAAAAGCTTGTTGCGATTTTTCAGAGACTGCCAAATTGTGACCGGCATCAAGTTTAATCGAAATTTATCTAACAAAACTCCTTTCAATTATGAAGAATGTGGGAAGTGTTTCTAATGCATAAGCTTGCTAGTAATAACACCCTGCTAATAAAAGTCTCCATAATATTCAGCAAAGGGAATGGGTTCGCACCCACTAAGGAATTTGCACTGTGCTTGGGTTCGCCAACCCAGCGCTCAGTGGGTTCCGGAACCCACGAAAACTGGGTAACTTGTCTGGTGAATACCGGTATGCTCGACTTCTGGGTTCGCGAACCCACTGGGTTCGTTCGTGAATACTGGAGGCTTAGATTGGAGGCTGCCCGTCGCAACGCTATAGCCATTTGGTCCTGGCACGATTTAGCGCCATCGGCCTTGCTCCACTCGTCCAATGTCAAAGGAAGGGCATTAGAAAACGCCTATTTTCGCCGTTTACAAGCTTTCAAAAGTGGATTTTTGGAATCAGCGTATTGAAAAACCCCAGGTAAGCAAATTTGACTAGGTTGAGATTTGCCGAGCCACTGCCTTTAAGTGGGTTTTTGTGGGTTCCGGAACCCACTGGGTAGGCTCAACCCACTGGGTTCCGGAACCCACTAGTTTCGTGAATACCGATTTTGTGGGTTGAGCCTACCCAATGGGTTCTGAACCCACTGGGTTCGTTGATGAATACGGCCACTGGAATTGTATAGCCGACTCCCGCAAGTGCAACCAATTTTAGGCGTGAATCAAAGAAATGTGCGATCACGTCCAAATGTTTTTTTTTTCACGGCTAACAAGGAAAGGTACATATGTGCCGGACTTCTCCAGTCAACCGATTCATCCTGTTTACCCCGCTCGATATTGGTCAGTTCAGTGATTTGAACAGCGAAAGGGTGAATCGGCTGACCCTAGTAGATGCACTTACCGAAGAGTATCTAATTGCATTGAATCGAGTAGCTCAAGTGGCATAAAATCAGCGAAGCTGCGCAAAAACGGCTAAAAGTAGGTAATCAATTTTGTATCCGGTTGACGAAGCTGTTGCAAATTCTCATAGGTGTTTTATGCAGCTTTCCGTTGATTTTGTTCACTTGAGGCTTCTCCAATTTGGACTTTTGAGCGCTCATGTCTTCCTTCAGAACGTTGTTCGCAGAAGGAAAGCAGGTTTGAAATGCGATCCAAGGCTTATGGTGATATACATCTCTTATGCCAGTGTAGCTTTCATCCTTCTTTTATTTAGCCGTTTCGTTTTTCATTTTGCCCGTCTTTTGCTCTAATGACTTTCCGATTTCATACAGCAAAATTTTTTCAGGCACTATGGACTGTGACATAGCCTCGTATCATGTCGAATCATTCAATTATCTGGTAGAGGAGGGTGTTCATCTTGCCGCGCAGTCAGTGCCGAAGGAAAAGTTCCGGTTACCTTCTGGAGAAGCTGTTGAGTTGAGCTATACCGGTGCATCGTTGGCGATGCCCACACTTGAAGGCGGGGTGAGAATCATTCTGTTAATTTGCTTCTGATTTTTTTACAAATGTGATCACATTGTAAACTGCTGCTTACTCATTGAACAACTCAATTTTCTACTATTTAGTCAAACAAGCTATCAGTCATTGATCAGTTGCGAGTTCTACCTTCCGAATGCCGACAAAGAGGTATAACTTATGCTGGAAACTTGAAAGTAGGAATAGAGGTGAGCTTTTTAACCGTTTTAGTCTTTTATTCCTCCTTTTAATGCTTTGATCTTTGAGATCAGAATAAACGGCCAACGCGTTGATGTCGTAGAAACAATACTCGGTCGAGTGCCAGTCATGTTAAGATCGAGCGCTTGCCACCTGAGTAAGATGAGTAAGCAAGAGCTGATAAAAGCTGGTGAAGAGGGCACTGAAAAAGGAGGATATTTTATTTGTAAAGGTAGTGAAAAGGTTTGTTGTTCCAATGCGATGATTTCATGATTTCTTTCTTACACTATACAATCTTCTTGTAGCGTTCACATAACATCATAATCTATGTCTTTTTGAGGTTATCCGTCTTTTGGTCGCAAATCGACGGAATTTCCCGATCGCGTTGCATAGGAAAACATTTCGCGAGAAGGTGCGCTTTTCCGACAATTGAAATTTGTACATGATGATGGCCTTGATATTTGTGTGCCATTTGCAATTATCTCTTTGTTCGCGAATTGATTACTGTTGTTTAGGGACTTCTGTTCACTGAGTATGGCGTTATGATGAGATGTGTGAAGGATAATCATACTGCCGTAATGATGACGATCCACTATCTGGAATCAGGAACGATACAAATAGCTTTACAGGTGGTTTTTCTTCCAACTCCATGTTGTTCAAAGCCCATTTATATGTTACTTCAGTATCGTCGTGAAATCTTCTATCTTCCCTTTATTTATATCTTAAAAGCTTTTGTAGACAAGAATGATGCTTTGATTGCAGCTGAAATGAAAAGGTCAGTACAACTGCAGCTATTCTACTGTTATCAGTCCGTTTTATATTTAGAGGAAGGAAAAATGATACGTTTTTCTCATCTTGTGTGACAAATATGTTGTCACAATGCCAAGACGAAGGTGTACTACACAGAGAAGCTGCTCTAAGAGCTATTGGAACACGATTTCGGGTTGCCGTAGCCGATCGGATAGCGCCATGGGAGGATGATGAGGTCAGCTTCAATTATTATGCTTGAGTAATATTAATCGTGAGCGCGATAGGAAGCTGGGCGATTCATCATCAACTCTTGTGTAGCTGTTCATATCGATGATTGGGAGGAAAAGTTTTATCTACTTATTTATATGGCGCAAAAGCTCTTCGCACTTGTGAAGGTAAGTTCTCTTAAAAAGGATTCGCTTACTATGTAGTTTTTACATCTTTCTTCAGGGCGAATGCGCTCCAGAAACTCCTGACAATCCCCAGTTCCAAGTTAGTTCAGATTGTTTCTCTTCAAATTTTTGGCAATAGCATGCCTTGAGGAAGCTGCTGTATCCGGTCACATAATCCTGCTAATCATACGTGAACGTATGGAAAATATTCTTGGTATGGTCAGACGTAAGCTGGAATTCAATGCGAAAAGAAAGAAAGACACATTCGCTGTCACTTCGTGCGTCATCATGCCTTTTTCTTTCTGAACGCTTATCATTGGACATCGCTTTTATTTCCAGAAATGAAGTTGTTCGTGCTCTTGGTAGCCATCAAAATGGTGAGATCACTAGGGGCCTGGAATACTTTCTCGCTACGGGTAATTTGATTACGAAAATAGGATTATCTCTACAGCAGGTTGGTAGTTGTAAGCCTTCCTCAATACATCCTCATCTTGATTCAGGATACGGGATTCTCCGTCATAGCTGAGAGAATCAATCAGTTGAGATTTGTGTCTCATTTCCGTGCCATTCACAGGTAACAAAATGTCCTTTTCTGGCTTAAGCATTCTCTCAATGTTTAGAGGAGCTTTCTTCATGGAAATGAGAACAACCGATGTTCGCAAGCTGCGACCAGAGGCTTGGGGTTTCATTTGTCCGGTACATACTCCTGATGGTTAGCGTTTCTTTTTGCTTTCCTTCCTCTGTCGTCTGTGCTTTCCTTTCAGTTGTTGAGTATCGTGTTCTTGTAGGAGCACCCTGTGGTCTTCTGAATCATGTCACAGCATCATGTCGCATTGTGACCCATTACTCCGATACTCGAGAGCTACCAGCTTTGCTTGCAGACCTTGGAATGCTTTCTCACAAGTCCGTAGTGTTTGCCTCGGACAAAGAGGAGGTATTGTTACATTGCCTGGTTTTGATATGCTTTCCGCACCTATTTCCACACTGTTTCTTTCTGAATTTTCAATGAAAGCAAGAAAAGACATTTTGCAGTATTATCCGGTCGTGCTTGATGGCCGATTTCTGGGCTACATACCTATAAGGAAAGCAGCATCGATAGAGCGACAGTTGCGATGCATCAAAACCGATGTAAATGACAACAGAGTGCCTTGTTTGGCGGAGGTATGTGATGACTAATCTGCTGAGGGCTCAGAAATCACTGCTTTTTTCAGATAGCTTTGATCCGTCGATCGTTGGATATGAAAAATATCCAAACGCAGTATCCTGGTTTATATATACTTACCGATCCTGCTCGTCTGATAAGACCTGTGCGAAATCTACTGACTGACGCTGTGGAGTACATTGGTATACATTTCTCGTACTTTTTTTTTCCTGCGTAGATTATACTTGAAGACCAAGTAATATTCAGGCACCTTCGAGCAGGTTTACCTGTCCATAGTGATAGATCCAGATGAAGCAGAGCCAGGGGTGACTTTTCATCAAGAACTTCATCCTAGTTGTTTGTTCTCCTTTGCTGGCAACCTCATACCGTTCCCAGATCACAATCAATCTCCCAGGTGAGATTTATGCGTGGGACAGTTGTTTTATTCATCCGAAGGTTGATTTTAAAGGAATGTTTATCAATGTCAAATGGGTAAGCAGACTATGGGAACTGCAGTGCATGCGTGGCATACAAGAGCTGATAATAAAATGTACAGGCTACAGGTAAGCTACAAATTTTATACCATGCAGTACTTAAAAATCCTACAAATATATCATTCCATCAGTTTCCGCAAAGCCCGCTATTGAAGTTGGAAGCATATGAACGTTATGAAATGGACGAGTACCCTCTAGGAACCAATGCTTGTGTAGCTGTGATCTCTTATACAGGTCTCTAGTCTTGAAATTCTATATCGTAGACAATGTGCTATTTTAGGTTACGATATGGAAGATGCTATGGTGATCAACAGAGCATCATTTCAACGAGGTTTTGCTCATGGGACTGTGATCAAGGTGGAAAGGTGTGTTTCCTACTGCTTGATTCATTGAGAGAAAGCATAAAAACATGATTCAATAATTTATGACGCGAAACTATTGTTTCAAGCTAAAATACTGTATGTCGTTATTCGAATTCATAGTTTCGAAAATGGTAATGTCTGTTCTTGTTTTAGGATAAATTTGGTTACAATGACTGAAAAGAAAACAATGTTTCGCATGGATCCTAAGCAACCGTACAGTACAGTTGGATGTGACGGTCTTCCAATTCCAGGGCGTCGGTATATGCTTGGTAAGCTATAGCCTCCCTTTGTTAGCAGGGTTTCTCTTGTTTATGAGCATTTATGCCATTCGGTTATTATTCTTGTTTGGTTTTCTGTATGAGCTAGGTTATAGGAGATGTCTACTATGTCACCTATAACCAAGACACTGGATTACATCAGGCATACAAGTTCCACTATGCCGAAGCAGCTTACTGCGGTATCGTTCGTCTCGTTCATCAAGAAGGAGCAGATGAGGCTGCTAGGGTAAGTCTTATTTGTTTGTATTCCTCAGTGACATCTACCCTTACAGCATGCCCTGATACAATGGCGAATTGAAAGGAATCCTATTATTGGTGACAAGTTTGCTTCACGCCATGGCCAGAAAGGGATCAACTCGTTTCTGTGGCCTGTTGAAAATATGCCGTTTAGTGAAAGTGGAATGGTTCCAGATATCATTTTCAACCCTCATGGTTTTCCTAGTCGGATGACTATAGGTAAAACTTTTGTATCGTAAGGCTAAGATTATCTGGGTTGTAATCTAGGTATGATGATCGAGAGCATGGCAGGAAAAGCTGCAGCGATGCATGGCGAAGTGTATGATGCTTCTCCCTTTGTTTTCAAGTGAGAATTATAGTTATCTTCGTGCCGGTACGCTCTAATTTTTTTAGCGAAAAGCATACCGCTATCAGCCATTTCGGTGAACTGTTGTCTAAAGCCGGTTATAATTATCTTGGAAATGAGACATTTTACTCTGGAGTAGATGGTCGGCAAATGGAGGTAGAGCTAGTTCAACCTAGGCTTTTTAATTTAGTCATAATTTGATCTTCATAGGTGCAAATCTTCTTCGGGATAGTCTACTACCAGAGGCTAAGGCATATGATCGCAGATAAATTCCAGGTTCTATCGCAATCCTTTGAATAGAAGAGAAAATCCACTTTTGGTTTAGGTGCGGGCAACTGGTCCTATAGACCCCATAACCCATCAACCAGTCAAGGGTCGTAAGAAAGGTGGTGGCATTCGATTTGGAGAAATGGAGAGAGATGCGATTATTGCTCATGGAACCGCTTTTGTGCTGCAGGTTGGTCGAGAATGTGCTTCAGCCAGAATGGCTGTGTTATTTAGGATCGATTACTCAATTGTTCTGATCGAGATGTGGCATATGCTTGTCGACGATGTGGTTCGTTGTTGTCGGTCTTGATGAGCACTAAAACTATGGCCGTAAGGCAGCGAAAGGCATGAGATGTTTGATTTTATTTCCAATCTTCTGATCTCCAAAATCAAAGATGTGGATAAGTGTTTTCATCAACTATGTGCGGGTCTGTTAATCTCCATTCAGGGAACAAATGCTACCACTGACTACACTGAAAGACAAATATGCCGAAATTGTGGCAAAGAGGATCAAGTGTACTTAGTGCAGGTAATTGAGCTAAGGAAGTACATTTACTTTTTCTAAGGTATACTTACCAATCACAGGTACCAAGAGTGTTTCGTTATCTAACAGCTGAACTGGCAGCAATGAACATAAAAATTCACCTAGGGATAAAAGATAGTTCCGAAATTATAAGAGCATGAAGAATAGTTGTTGAATAGATGTTGATAATTTCCATAGCTGTATCATGTATAGGCGTTCTTACAACGCATGCCAAGTTGTTATTGTTACTGTTGCAAGTTGCTTGTGTATTTGATTGTTGAGTTTGTTGTTATGAACACTTTTTCATGGTATGTACCACCGAATCAGAACTAACCAAAACGATTACTTTTCTATAAATTGTATATCTTGCTTCTTAGGTTGCTTCCAATCGTGCCTTCCCGACCGCCGTTGTTGCGTTTCCACTGGGAACGTCACGAACTTTTCGTCTTTTAGGCAGTACACTAAAAACACAGCAGTGTTAATTATAATAAAATAATTTACATATAGGAGTGGAGACATTTGCGAGTTGATTGAGACTTTAACTAAAATTTATATAAGGTTCATTTAAGATCGTGACTACGGATTTGTCTTCGGTGTTTGCGCCACAATAGCATAAAACGCTCACGCAAGGAGGCATTACCTCAACACTCAGCTCACTCACTTCCACTGCTTACAAGGGAAGGACCCTTGGTCGAAGTGAGATCCCCATACGTGATGCATATCATTGTGTTGGTCTTGGGCACTAATACCAAATCCGTGTTCCTTAGCTGCTCAATGATCTTCTGGGAAAAGTGACGAATCATGGTTTCCCCAAGATGACCACGGATCGCTTAAGTTAGCGGCGCCGAAAAATGTCAGTTGTGGAGGGATGGCTGAGTGGCTAGCTGCGGAGACTATAGAGGAAGTGGAAAAACGTTCGGAGCTGGTTCATGAAAAACTGAAACAGTCAGTACATCAAATGCTACAGTGGGCTAACGATTGGGGAATCAAGGTCAACCTTTCTAAAAGCCAGTTGTTGAGATTTGGTAACGATTCAACTGAATTTGACTATGGAATTGCCTTAGAAATTAAACGGAATGTATGTGACCTTGGTATAACCATCGATCCTTCCCTCAAATTTTCCTCTCATATTGATTCTGTTGTCTCTAAAGCATCACGGATTATGTATTCTTTATTTAGAAATGTACATGTAAATGATTCATCCATTTGGCTCAGACTATATAAAGCTTATGTACTGCCTGTTTTGCAGTACGATAGTCCTGTATGGAATCCTAGTCGAAAGAAACTCATTGATAAATTAGAAAAAGTTCAACGCACGTTTACCAGAATTCTATACTATCGTATCTACCCAAACAAACAGTACCCTAATGCATTACCTGATTATAACAGTAGGTTAGCCTTTTTGGGGCTTAAGAGTTTGTACTACAGAAGAATGATTGCTGATGTATTATTAGGGTTTAAAATGTTCAGATCTGAGGTACGTTTGAATTTCTCTGATTTTTGGATCATACGCCCGACCAATAGTCGTCATTTCAGTTTGAATATTTCTTTGGTTCGAACAAAAGGATGGCGCAAAAGAATAGTACAAGACTCATTCGCTTGTCGCACGTGTCGTTTACTGAACAAAATTCCTCACGAAATGATTAGTCATGAAAATTCATACAAATTAAGAAAATTTTTGATCAAACATGAACTTCCTCGGTGTTTTGGTGATGAACAGTGATCTATATCATTACATACAGCTTATACTCTCTATTTGATTTTCATGATGTTCTCTGGACTCAGTTATAATTGGCCCAGCGCTGTTATATCTAAAACTATTTGTGATTGTCGCATCGTCATGGCTCATACTTATGTACAGCTCATACTCAGCTTTCCAACGCCACATTGTCTGCTACTTGCTGCTCAAACACAGAGGAAGCGGGGCAGAAGGTAGTATAATGAAAACCTGGGTACGCGCGGTTTAGCCGTATCGCCTAGGCACTACCTCGTAAGCGTACCACTCGAAAGTGGTTCATTCAGTTATGTAACGCCATGCTGTATCGTAACGCCATACCTCTGTTATTTTGAGCAAAGGTTGCAACGTGGCTTTCCAATCAAGCTATTATATCAATCCATTCTAGCCCATGATAATGCGCTTGTTATTTTTATACATTCTTAACAGCTCTGGTTCACCTATAAATGGGCCCAGAAGTGGATGTTTGTTTACCTTGGGTGTGCTATGATATATTTATATATCATATGTGCAATAAATAAATAAAGAAATAAATACTTGTGTTTCAAACATTCTAGCATTTTTGCAAATTTTTCAACGGGTGTCAGGTGTTTCTCTGCCTTAGGGCCCCTCTAAGTGTACATATCATACATTCTAATCTGCAAAATGGAAAAATGTTTGGAACATAAGTATTCCGAACTTTTTACCACTTTCTCCATAGTCTCCACAGCTATCCACTCGGCCATCCCTCCACAACCGACATCTCTCAGCGCTGCTGACTTAAGCGATCCGTGGTCATCTTGGGAAAACCATGATTCGTAACTTTTCCCAGAAGATCATTGAGCAGGTAAGGAACACGGATTTGGTATTAGTGCCCCAAAACGAGTACAATGATATGCATCACTTGTGGGGACCCCACTTCGACCGAGGGTCATTCCCTTGTTAGATATTGGCCCGTAGTAAAGCTGCTTCATTCGATCTCAGCTGAATTAAATTTCAGTTGAGGCTTCGACGAGTCGGCTTACCTTCAGTCGAGCCATCGATTGATATTGCCAACCACCCACGATGATAAGATGGAAAGCGGCACGTCCATGCAAGTATGTCAAGACGAGTTTGCCAAACATTCACATCCACGTCACTGGCACTAGCGGCGGGGATGTGGCCGCACTTGTTGGATCTTGTTAAGTCTCGTCAGCATCACTGTGGCTGCTCACCGACTTGCTGAACTGAGGTGTATCGTAAGTTACTCAGGAGCAACTTACGAGAAGTTTCTCTTCGTATCATCATTGGCACACTATTTACATCAATTGGTAGTCTAACTGAATGTGAACTGACTGAAGTAAGGTAGACTACCTCGTTAGACGGACGGTCAGCTGAAATCTCATTTTGCATTCTTATAACGTGGAGAGCTGGTGATAGGTAGTCTACCTTACTGAATCTTGGATGAGGGCCTCAGTTCAGTTCACCTTAACTGAATTAGCTTTGCTAGGCCATTATCACACGTTAACGGAAAAACCATTGGAGTAGAGATGAAGACCAAGAAAATGCGGTTGCTGGAAGTGCGTGCTTGTCGCGCGCAGTCGCGCCATCGTCACGATTTTCTGAATACCCCATAGCTCTCTTTACGCGCATACTGAATTTGAGTTTTATCAACTATAGCGATTGCTGATCACATTCCAATAACCATCACTTAAAATCCAATAATTGCCAAGATCGGTGCATCTCGATGATCGCACTAGCGTCGTTAGAGCCTATACTGAAAACTATCCTTGGGCTGCTAGTGCCTCCTCCATAGCATCACATCTAACTGGTTAAGCACTAGACACCAGCGACGGAAGGACTAAGCCATCGCTCAATTAAACTTCATTCGAGATATCTGACCGTCTGAAGTGAAGCTGTTAATCTGGACAGTACTTCAAGCAAATTGGATAGCCATGGGACAGGGATGGCGCCTATAGTGACAATAGTCTTTATGTCAAAAATGTACAGTTTAGCGATGATTTGTAAACCTATACTGTGGACGCTCTGACAGTTTCTGTATTGTATGTTTCACCCAAGCGAATCGCCGAATATCGGATCTACTCGCGAAAATTCCCTGTTACGGAGCAGCTGAGAGGGCGAGGAAGCTCTTTTGCAATAGAGCGAAAGTATAGAATGAGAGAGCAATGAAGCGAAATCTAGTGACCAGTAGAGACGACCGATCGACGTTAGGAGAATGGCCTCAGATGTTGGTATGTTTAAAGGGGTACGATCAAAGAAGAGCAAAAAGCAATCAATGATTCACCAGAAGAAAAGAAATGATGATTTTCAGTGCTAGATACTGGAGAGAGTAGTACATTGTCTCCGAACCTGATGTCCGCTTTCAGTAACGGAGTCGAAAAGTTCTACTTCGACCCTTTTATTGTTTGATCAACGAAATACCTACTCATTTGTTTTTTATTGACGATCTGGTAATCTTTGATCGAAGAGGGAATCTTTCTTTGACAGCAAAGTAACATCCACATTTCGGCTTCTTCTACCTGCGTGATTCTAGACTACACTACAAATCCTTCGAGGTGCAACAAAATACACACTTCAAAACATGTTCTGATATTCGAAAATAATAAGTTTAACATAAATTCGGAAAAAGGCGGATCGCTCTTAGTTTTCACACTTTTGCCATGAAATAGTACTGTAGTATGCAGAGGATATTGCAAAAACAGGGTATCTATGTTACGTTCCTGTCTTAACTGATGAGCCTGTCTCAACTAATGAGCCTTATAATTTTTGAGTAATTGTTTATGATGCAGAAGAGGCTTAGTAAAATAAAGTTTTTTCAAATCATATGTGAGCATTTTATTCTGATCGGGACAACGTTGTCTTGAGCACTTCGTCACTTAGCGTCACTTAGCGGAATACCAAATTCTATTGAGTTACTTTGAATTTTTGTCTGGCTTCAATTATAAAATTTATAGTGAATCCGCTATCATACTAAAGTAATCAATCATTTGAATTTTGAGGCAGTAGGAGGAATTGATTGCGGAAAGTGAGCAACAACGTATGTCCTAGTAGATCTACGTGAAGCAATCACATGTTAAATGAGAGAATGATGTGATTTCAATATTAGGTCGTAAAGAAAGTTCCCGGGCACTTGCGAAAATTTTCCTTAAATCGCTGTAACTTCAAGCAGATAATCTTTTTCAAAACTACAAATTTCTTTGCAAAGACAATTTCGTCTACAACAGATGTTTGTCTTCGTGGCTTTCCAGCGCCCCATTGCGGTCCACCAGCATGCGCAGAAGGGGAAAAAGGTAGCTGCGAAAAATGGCCTGTTTGCGCAGAATGATGATGAGAGTATGATGAGAGCTGGAAAAAGTCCAGATGCTGTATGTAGAGGTCTGGTGCTGTTATGGGGACCATTTACGTTTTTGACGGACCACCTGCAAAAATTTTTTCCCCAGAAAGTTTGGAAAATCGACCATTTTTCCCCCCAAAATTGCACTATTTTTCGAGTAAGTGATTCTGGAGTCTTCTAGTTCTGCACAGGAGGACCATATCTTTGATTACTGGGAACATTGTTGGGGTAAGGCCCTGCACATCTTTTGAACCTATTACACAGGCCAGGCGATTTCCGCAGAAGCGACGTCAGATGCGAAAAGAGCTGCGGT